CTGCCAGCAGACCAAGGTGGGAACAACCTTGTGGATTCCTGAGAGCCTCCCCAGCACCCTGCCTCTTCCTATTCCCATGATGTCCTCATCTATCATGGTATCTTCCTCCCTGCCATCCCACTCTATCCCTGTTCCAGCTTCACTCTCCCATTTCCCTATGTTCTCATCCCCCACTCCTTGCCCTATGCCACCTCCCCACACCCAGTCCACTCATGTAGATCTCATCCACTTCTCCTTCACAGGATCATCAATGTGTCCTTCCTAGGGTCTTTCCCTGTTAGCTAGCCTCTCTGGAGTTGTGGGTTGCAGTCTGGACATCCCTTCCCTCACATTTAGTATCCACTTAGGAGTGAGTACATACCATGTTTGTCCTTCTGAGTCTAAAACCAATACTCTTTAAATTGTTCCACATAATAGAAACACAAGGAACATTATCAAACTCCTTCCGTGAGGCTACAATTACCCTGATTCCCAAGCCAAACAAAGATGCAGCAAAGAATGAGAACTACAGACCAATATCCCTCATGAACATTGAGACAAAAATACTCAATAAAATACTGGCAAACAGACTCCAAGAACACATCAAAACAATTATCCACCATGATCAAGTAGGCTTCATCCCAGGAATGCAAGGGTGGTTTGCTGTGGGATGTTCTGTATGGCAAATGTGTTGCTAATTAGTCAATAAATAAAACACTGATTGGCCATTGGCTAGGCAGGAAGTGTAGGCAGGACAAGGAGGAGAATAAAGCTGGGAAGTGGAAGGCTGAGTCAGAGAGACACTGCCAGCCGCCATGATGAGAAACAGCATGTGAAGATGCCGGTAAGCCACGAGCCACGTGGCAAGGTATAGATTTGTGGAAATGGATTAATTTAAGCTGTAAGAACAGTTAGCAAGAAGCCTGCCATGGCCATACAGTTTGTAAGCAATATAAGTCTCTGTGTTTACTTGGTCGGGTCTGAGCGGCTGTGGGACTAGCAGGTGAGAGAGATTTGTCCTGACTGTGGGCCAGGCAGGAAAACTCTAGCTACAGTGGTTCAACATACAAAAGTCTGTCGATTAATACACCATATAAACAAACTGAAAGAAAAAAAACACATGATCATCTCACTAGATGTAGAAAAGGCATTGGACAAAATCCAACACCCCTTCATGATAAAGTCTTGGAGAGATCAGGAATACAGGGAACATACCTAAACATAATAAAGGCAATTTACAGCAAGCCAACAGCTAACATCAAAGTAAATGGAGAGAAACTCAAAGTGATTCCACTAAAATCAGGAACAAGACAAGGCTGTCCACTCTCCCCATACTTATTCAATATAATACTTGAAGTTCTAGACAAAGCAATAAGACAACAAAAGGAGATCAAGTGGATACAAATTGGAAAGGAAGAAGTTAAGCTTTTACTATTTGCAGATGACATGATAGTATACATAAGTGACCCCAAAAATTCGACCAAGGAACTCATACAGCTTATAAATACCTTCAGCAATGTAGCAGGATACAAGATTAACTCAAAAAAATCAGTAGCCCTCCTATATATAATTGACAAACAGGCTGAGAAGGAAATCAGAGATGCATCACCCTTTACAATAGCCACAAATGATATAAAATACCTTGGGGCAATTCTAACTAAGCAAGTGAAGGACCTGTATGACAAGAACTTCAAGTCCCTGAAAAAGAAATTGAAGAAGATGTCAGAAAATGGAAAGATCTCCCATGCTCATGGACAGGCAGGATTAACATAGTAAAAATGGCAATCTTACTAAAAGCAATCTACAGATTCAATGCAATCCCCATCAAAATACCAACACAATTCTTCACAGACGTGGAAAGAACAATACTCAATTTCATATGGAAAAACAAAAACCCAGGATAGCCAAAAGAATCCTGTACAATAAAACAACCTCTGGAGGCATCACGATCCCTGACTTCAAGCTCTACTATAGAGCTACAGTAATAAAAACAGCTTGATACTAGCATTAAAACTGACATGTGGACAATGGAATTGAATTAAAGACCCTGACATTAATCCACACACCTATGAACACATAATTTTTTATAAAGAAGCCAAAACTTTACAATGGAAAAAAGAAAGCATCTTCAACAAATGGTGCTGGCATAACTGGATGTCAACATGTAGAAGGCTGCAAACAGATCCATATCTGTCACCGTGCACAAAACGTAAGTCCAAGTGAATCAAACACCTCAACATAAATCCAGTTACTCTGAACCTGATAGAAGAGAAAGTGGGAAATAGTCTTCAATGCATTGGCACCAGAGATCACATCCTAAATATAACACCAGTAGCACAGATACTGAGAGAAACAATTTATCAGTGGGACCTCTTGAAACTGAGAAGCTTTTGTAGGGCAAAGGACGCGGTCAACAAGACAAAGCGACAGCCTACAGCATGGGAATAGATCTTCACCAGCCCCACATCTGACAGAGGGCTGATATTCAGAATATATGAAGAACTCAAGAAATTAGACATCAAAATACCCAACAGTCCAATTAAAAAATGGGCTACAGAGCTAAGCAGAGCATTCTCAAGAAGCTCAAATGGCTGAAAGACATTTAAGGAATTGCTCAACATCCCTAATCATCAGGTAAATGCAAATCAAAATGACTCATAGATACCACTTTATCCCTGTCAGAATGGCTAAGATCAAAAACACTGAAGACAGCTTATGCTGGAGAGGATGTGGAACAAGGGGAACTCTCCTCCACTGTTGGTGGGAATGCAAACTTGTACATCCACTTTGGAAATCAATATGCGTGTTCTTAGAAAATTGGGAATCAATCTCCCCCAAGACCCAGCTACACCACTCTTGGGCATATACCCAAGGAATGCTCAATCATACCAGAAGGACACATGCTCAACTATGTTCATATCAGCATTGTTTGGAATAGCCAGAACCTGGAATCAACCTAAATGCCCTACAACTGAAAAATGGATAAATAAAATGTGGTACATATATACAATGGAGTACTACTCAGCAGAGAAAAACAATGACATCATGAGGTTTGCAGGCAAATGGATGGATCTAGAAAATATCATCCCAAGTGAGGTAGCCCAGACTTGGAAAGACAAACATGGTATGTACTCACTCAAAGGAGGATACTAGATGTAAAACAAAGGATGACTAGACTGCTACTCAAACTCCAGGGAGGCTACCTAGTAAAGAGGACCCTAAGAAAGACACAGGGATCACCCAACAACAGAGCAATGGATGAGATCTACATGAGCAAACTGGACATGACGGGGGTAATGAAGGGCAAGTGTTGGGGGAAAGAGAGCTTAGGGGAGCGGGAGATCCCAGCTGGATCAGGAACATAGAGGGAGAACAAGGAAAGAGACACCATGATAAATGAAGACCCCATGAGAATAGGAAGAAGTAAAGTGCTAGAGAGGTCCCCAGAAATCCACAAGATACCTCCACAATAGACTACTGGCAATGGGTAAGAGAAAGCCCGAACTGACCTACTCTAGTGATCGGATGGCCGAACACCCTAACTGTCATGATAGAACTCTCATCCAGATGCAGAGATCCATGGCCAGGCCCCCGATGGAGCTCCAGGAGTCCAACTGTCGAGAGAGAGGAGGGATTGTATGAGCGAGAGATGTTGAGACCAAGATTGGAAAAAGCACAGGGACAAATAGCCAAATTAGTGGAAACACATGAAAAATGAACCAATACCTGAGGAGCCCCCATGGAAATGGATCAGGCCCTCTGGATAAGTGAGACAGTCGATTAGCTTGAACTATTTAGGAGGCCCCCAGGCAGTGGGACTGGGACCTGTCCTTAGTGCATGAGCTGGCTTTTGGAACCTAGGGCCTATGCTGAGACACTTTGCTCAGCCTGGATGAAGGCAGGAGGGGACTGGCCCTGCCTCAACTGAATCTACCAGACTGAGCTGAATCCCCAGGGGAGTCCTTGCTCTGGAGGAGGTGGGAATGGGGGGTATATTGGGAGGAGGGGGCGGGAGGAGGGAGGAAGAGACAAGAAGAAAGAAAAAAACTTAAAAATAAAATACAGATATTCTTTAGAAAAAAGGAAATAGACAAAAGTAAAGTTTTGGAAACTTGGTTAATTCACCATTTCTGCATTAATGGTGACAGGTTTTCTTAAACTGTAAAAACAGGTGGGGCGGGATTTTTTGGTTTTTCGGTTGATTTTTAAAGTGAAGTCTGTTTTGAAGTATAGAGTTTTCTCATGGGGATCTTGTAACTGTGTTCTCATGAATTGGACTTGAAACAGTTATGGTTAGACCTTTCTTTTAAAAACTTAATTTTGTAAATACTATAAATAAAATGTTTAAGCTACATGTTTTCTCATTCCAAAGCTTATAATACTATGTTTTCTAGAAAAATAAGTAAAATCATGTATCATTGTAGGTTGTAAGATTATTAGTGATCTTAACTTTATACATTTTATCAATTAAAGCACCTTTTCAATAAAAGAAATAAGTGGAGAAAGGGACAAATAGAGAGGACAAGAGAAGAGGGAGATGAGAGAAAAGGAGGGGAAGTGGGACAGAGAAGAAAGGAGGAGCAGAACAAGAAGAGACAGAGAAGAGAAGGCGAGGAAGAGAGGAACAGGTAGATGGTGAGAGAGTAAGAGGGAGAGAAGGATCGGGAAAGAGATGAAGAGGAAAGGGAGAGAAAAAGAGAGGGACAGACAGACATTAGGAGTCACCAGTCCTGCCTGAGCAGGCAATATGGGCCTTTCCCCTCACAAAGAAGCAAAGATCCATGTTTATATTGAACCCACATATATGGAAAGTGGGATGGTAGAAATGATCTATCAGATTCCTCACATCAAGGGTACCCTTAACTGACATCTATAGTTGCCTCCATTAACACGTCACCCTTAGATTTACTGAGAGGCATACAGGGAGCCCTTGGAAGACCCACTACAAGGCACATTAATGTCCCACCCCCATCTACCTCCTGTCATATCAGCTTTAGCTGTGTCTCTTTCCACCTGAGCAGCTGGGGAAGTCAGTGAGGAGATGTTCACAGTGAACTTCACCATCAACAACCTGCGCTACTCAGCCGACATGGGCCAGGTTGGCTCCCCCAAGTTCAACATCACGGATACACTCATGCAGCACCTGGTGAGCTACCTGCTTCCCCTCAGGCCCTTCCTTCCCCTCCTAGTGTAGATGCCTGCCTCTACCCAACTCTGACTCACTTCTTTCTCTGCAGCTCGGCCCTTTGTTTCAGAGGAGCAGCCTTGGCCCCCTATACACAGGCTGTAGAGTAGCCACTCTGAGGTGAGACACATTCTCCACTTACACCCCCCTCTCCTACCCTACCAACCCATTATCCTACTTGAAAAGGCTTGGAGTTGTGATGATGGGAACACTTAGGATTGATGTGTCTTTTTTGTTTGTGTTTTAATGATTTTATGACAATTTTTATTTTATAGCAATAGGGTACTTGCCAATAATCCCTCAGTAGTGGGGTGGTGGGGTGGTTAAGCAGGAGAGTCCCTGCCTAGAATCTACCAGTTATGGACATGGGCATGGCTTGGCTATAGATCACTTATTAAGAATGTACAAGACCCTAGTTTTGATGACAGCATAATAAAAATATTAAATTGTAAAAACAAATAAAAAAAACTTAAGGCTGGATGTAATAACACAAACCTTTAATCCTATAACTTGGGAGGCAGAATCAGGCAGGCAGATCTCTGTGAGTTCAAGGCCAGCCTGGTCTATATAGTGTGTTGTGGGATAGCCTGTGTTACATAGTGAGACCCTTTCTCAAAAACAAAAAGTTTTAAAAGGCTGGCTGACTGATGAGTGAGCGCCTGGATATCCCCTGTCCCAGTGCTTGGATTATAAGCACATGTAGTCACACTGGGCTATTTTTTTTTTACATGGGTTCTTAAGAATTAGAAATCAGGTCCTCCTTTTCCTCCTATTGGGTTGCCTCATCCAGCCTTGATATGAGGGTAGTGCCTGGTCTTATTGCATCTTGTTATGCCATGTTTGGGGGATATCCCTGGGAGGATTTTTCCTGAAGGAAAATGGAAGTGCAGTAAATCTGTGGGAGAAGGAAAGTGGGAATGGGGAGGAGTGAAGGGAGGGGAGACTGTGGTCAGGATGTAATTGTATGATAGAAGAATAAATAAAGAGACAAAAAGAACTCAGATCCTCATGCTTGCAGAGCAAGCATTATTATCCACCAAGTTCTTTCCCCTCCTTGATTCCTTTTTAATTGTAGTAAAATATATATAACACAAAATTTACCGTCTATATTAGTAAACTTCAGATTACTTTAATGAACTATCTGATACAATTAACTTGTGAAGAGAAAGAGGATAACAACTCATAAAAGCTTGGATACTGGAGCTCTCTGTACAACTTGCAAGTGTCTCAGCAGGTTGGACATTCTCCTCTCTTCAACACTCCTTATTGACTGAATAACTCCAGGGAGGGAGGAGCCTATCGACTCTAGTACATTTAAGAGGCTTTCTGATACAGCTGCATTCTTTATTTTCTGGTTTTACTGAGCCTCTCTTTAAAACTTTGAGTCTATAATGAGTCTCTAACCAGAACAGAATGTTTTGATGCCAAAGAAGTTACTTCAAAACAAGGAAAAGAAAGAATAGGATGAAAAAGAGGACAAGAAGACTGTGAAGGGGAGGAGAAGAAGGAAGAGCAAGAGAAAAGAAGGAGCGAGAAGAAGAAGGTGAAAGAGTGGGGAAAGAAGAGCAGGGAAGGAGAATGAAGAGGAGAAGGGAATGAGGGAAGAAAACAGAAGAGGAAGAGGAGGAAGAGGATAATAGAGAGGAGGAAGGTGAGGAAGAAGGGGAGAGTAAAGAGGGAGAAAAGAAGAGGAAGGAGGGGAAGAAGAGGCGGTGAAACCAAAATTGGGATAACTGTAAGTAATCCGAAGAGCAATGCAAAGAGAGACGCTTTCAGACATGAGCACCCACAGGTGTGGAATCCTAATTTGTGAAAGTAAGTGAGCGAGCAAGGCAGCAAACATCATCAACAAAATCAAAGTGTAGGCTATGCATTGTATAGAGTGACCACAGAGGGAGAGGCAGCAAGCGATCAAAATCTCCTCAATGTACTCCTCTTCCTCCCCAACTCAGGTCAGTGAAGAATGGTGCCCAGACCCAGGTAGATGTCCTTTGCACCTACCACCAGGTTCCCACTGGTCTGGGACTGCCTGCCAAATCAGTTTTCTATGACCTAAGCTGGCAGACCCGTGGAATCACCCGGCTGGGTCCTTATTCCCTGGATAAAGACACTCTTTACATCAACGGTGAGCATTTTCCATCTCCATCTCCTGGCCCTCTTGCATGCTAAAAAACTTCCCAGTTCCCAGTTCTTTAGGGAGATATTGGGATTCAAATGCAAGCTTCCACCCCAAAACCCACCTACACCCCAAAAGACTACTCCTTAACAAGTCCCAACTTGAGAGTTTTGAATCCAAACATGAGTGCTGTTGTTATTGCCAATGTGATACTCCAGGTAATTACTTCATAAAACAGTCTTTCTTGGAGAAATAAAGAGGATACACTTGTCTCAAAGCCTGCTTTCTTCTCACTCTTGATACTAGATTAACTTCTCTCCTGGACAGTTTTCTCACACAGGAGATGTAAGAAAAGGGGTCAGTGTATCGAATGACCTAAGCTTCAGACACTACATATCAGCATAAAACCAAGAAAGGACAGCTTCTAAGCTATATGCCCTGTATGGCATGTTCAAATGCAAGACATATCCCTAGAAAAACTGGTCAAAATAGTTCTTCCTTTCCTTTCCTTATTTCTCTCCCATCTTCTTTCTTTCCTTTCCACTTTCCCTTTCCTGCCAGTCCTCCTCTTCCTCTTCCTTTCATTCCCTACCTTCCCTTCCACCTTCCTTCTCCTCTGCTCCCCTCCCCTCCACAACATGTCCTCTCCTGTCCTTCCTAACCTGGAAATCATTCTTAGGAACTTGCATTCGTGTATCACCATTGCCTCATGAAGTAGCTATGTGTTTAATTGCTATAAGCAAATACCTGACATCAACTTATCAGAAGGTTTATTTTAGTTTCCAGTGTAAGGAAATCACTCTCATCATGGCAAGGAAGGTGAGGTACCTGATCACATAGCACCAATAGTCAGGAAGAAAAAAAAAACAAGATAAACGCAAGTCCTCTTATATCTCCTACATATTTAGTCACAGCCCATTATATGGAGCTGCCCACAGTTAAGGTAGACCTTTTAATCACAACCTAATCTAGAAATTCTCTGAGAGACATGCCCAGAAGTTTGTCTCCTAGGTGATTCCAAGACCAGTAAAACTGATCATCGGCATTAACTATTACACACACTTATGGAAGAGAGGAGACAATGTGGACCCCCATTTCTCTTATTTCAACAAGAAGAAAAACTGAGGCAAAGAGAATGAAAGGAACAGGCTCCCACTTTGATATTCTGGTTTACATCCATCCCTTCAATTCTGTCACAGAAGAAACTTAGTTAGAATCCACCTTCATAAACTGTGCTATTTAAATGCATCACTTTGTTGTCCAGTCAACATTTACCAAAATCTACTATAAATCAAATCTTAGCCCTGACACCAGGAACAAATAATTTTCATGTGTACCTTGTCCCATTGTAAATTTCAGTGCAGTAAAGATTGGTTTGTTCATTATTATATGCTTCATTTGGAAATAGAGTACCACAGAGAGTAAGTGCTCAGTAAACAACAGTAGATAATAGAGGTACATTAAAAGGGAAGACAATGGTGTGGATAACTGCATACATAGGAGTATATAAGCATAGATCTCCTGTTGTTCTCTTGCTATTGAATAGTAAGGAAGAGTTAAATCTAATTGAAATAACAAGAAATTGTTCATGATGACATTTAAGTCAGATATGGGCACATGAGTAGATTCTCAGTATACAAAATAAATGTATCATAATGGGGCCCCCATGTACCATGGCATGGTGTATGGGACCGCTATGACCCTTTCACTTATGCATGACTTTTGTTTCCTAGGTTACAATGAACCTGGTCCAGACGTACCTCCTACAAGTATGTGCCTGTATTTTGGCCTATGTATGTCTTCTCATTCAGAAAGAAAGCATACCTCAGAACAAACCAGCCTCCCAAGAGAGGCTAAGGTCTTAGTAGATGAATAATGTTGAGTCTTTAGCCTCTCTTTTGGACCTTCATTCCTCACATTGGATTTCTGAACTTTTCATACTCCTCTGGGTTAAAGGAAGAAGTTTAAACAAGAGTTATAGGAAGGCAGAAGTCATATGTTGACTCTAGTTTATTTCTTCCATGAACAAAAGCTACTGGGCCCCCAGTAAGGACTTCATTCTCAGATTCTAAATGGTAACAGTTACTTAAGAGACTTGGGATAAAAAAATGCCTGCTGAGGAATGTCTTTCTGTATGCTGTGAATATGTGCTGTTCCAATTGGTTAATAATGGACTGCTTTGGCCTATGGCAAGGCAGCTTACAGGCAGGTGGGAAATCCAGAACAGAGACAGGAAAAGGGGAGACACGAGAGAGGAGAGAAGCCATCGTGCTGTCCAGGGAGCAGTATGTAATGGCACACAAGTAAGGTCACAAAACACGTGGCAACATATAGATTAATAGAAATGGGCTGAGTTTAGTTAGAAGAGCTAGCTAGCAAGAAGCTTGAGCCATAGGCCATGGCCATACAGTTTGTAAATAATATTAAGCCTTTGGGCGATTATTTTATAAGAAGCTTCAGGATGCAGGTGGGAGAGATTCGTCCTGACCTGACCCCAGAGTCAGGCAGGACCAGAAAAACCTGCAGGCTACAAATGCCTTTTAAAAATCAGTGACTGGTTCACCTGTCTTTTCAGCTATCCATGATTTCATTTTCCCTAATCATTCCTCTTCTTTGATACCACATTTCTATTCACTCATCTATCTACACATTTTACTGCTCACCTTTTTACAACCTTCTTATGCCTTCTGGTTTTTTCTTTCTATATTCATTCACCTACTTATCCATCCTTTACTTCTGTCCTTTGTTGTTTGTCCTTCATTTCTTTTATCTATTTGCCCATCCATCCATACATCTTCACATCCATCTATGTACTACAGATGCATAAATACTTACAGATATATTCATCTATCCATGAACCATCTATCCACGAATCATCTATCCATGAATCCATCTATCCACCTACCCATGCATTTGTCAATCTATTCTCCCATATATTCACACACTTTCTTTTGTCCAAATGTCTGTGACATTCATTTCCTCTGTCTTGTTTTCACTGTGCATCAATATGCCTCTCCAGCCACCCTGTGAACAACTTAACGACCCATCCATCCATCTTCCTATTTGTCCATTCATCCATCTACCTTCCTATCACGCATTCACACCCTGCATCTGCCTAGTTATCTACCTATGCTCATGCTCATTCATTTATTTGAACTTCCTTCCTTCTGCTTTGCTTCTACCTCCTCAAACACTGTTTTCATCCTTTTTTAATTCTGCTTTGACCTATCATTTTTAGGTTCTTTACAATCACCTCTTCTGTTTTCTGTATTCATATCCACCTATGCTGTTTGCTCAGCCTCTCTTACCACTCTCACTATCTTACTAATTCCATTCACAGGTTTTTCTCATTCCTCTACTCATGTGATTGCTCTTTCCCTTATTCTTGTGGGTGATTTGTCTGACTTGGACCAATGCTAAAAGGGCTTCTCTATCAGGGCACTCTGTCCATGCCTGATGACAGGTTTTTCCACAGCTCCAGAACCAGCCACCACCATCTTGCCCTCCCCATCAACATCTCTACAGCCAGAGTCCAATACAGGTATCTGGGGACCCTTTTATTTCACTAGTTGTCACATGAGAGCTAGGAAGCATCAGATGTGGAGAGCCCAGTGCCAGGTTCATCATTACAAGCACAAAATCAGACTAGCAGTTAAGTTAGATGCCTGCCCTCATGCAAACACCATGTTCATGAAATAAACAGATGATTACAGTACAATGAGAAGTCAGAGGGAGACACAACCGGCATCACAGAGAGGAAGGCTTTATGTAGAAAATGCATATGTAAGTGTTGGATAGTCATGACAGACCATATGGTAGAGAACACGATCTGATCAGAGCAGTATTCCAGCCTTGTCACAAGTAAACACTCAGTTGTAGGTATTTATCTTTCTGTCTTCCTCCAGCTATGTGGCACCACCTGGAAACCTTCACAATCAACTTTACCATCTCCAACCTTCCATATTCAGCAGACATGATCAGTGGCTCAGCCATGTTCAACTCCACTGAGAATGTCCTACAACACCTGGTAAGACCCTCTTTCCTAAACCGCCCCCCCCTACCGATATTCACTTCATCTGCATCCTCCACCCAACTGTTTACTCTCTTTTTTCCTTTCTCATCCACAGCTTGGGCCCTTGTTCCAGAATAGCTCCTTTAACTCAAGTTGCAGACTGACCTCCCTCAGGTGATTCTACTTCCATACAATTGCCTGAGAATAACTATCCCTTCTTTTGATCTTCTGCTGTTTCCCCTTCCTTGGGCCTTCCATCTACATTAGGACTTCCCTTGAATATCTACACTTTTCTCTTTAAGCCCTAAGAAGAATGGGACATTCACAAGTGTGGTTACCACCTGCACCTACCAGCATGACCCTGCACATCCTGGAATGGATACACAGGGTCTATACTCAGAACTGAGCCATCTGAGCCATGGAGTCACCCAACTGGGAAACTACACACTGGAGAAGCATAGCCTCTATGTGAATGGTGAGTATGGTCTGTGGTTTGCTATGTGGTCTCCTCGGGCATCCTTTATTTTATCTATACTCTGAAATGTTCCTAATGGTCTTTATGTAGACCAAATGTTTCTATACTCTTCATTTCTGTCCAAATAATCAAATAGGCACACAAAAAAGCATAGAAGGGTAAGGTAGACTATCACATCATGGACAATGTCAAGGAGGAGAGACATATAAATGCTGGTCTTCAGCTCACTATCTTTTTATCCAACCAGGAATCTAGGCCATAGGGCTGTGCTGTCCAGAGTTAATGTATATCATCCCTCCTGGGTTGACCCAATCTATGAACTCCCTCAACATCATGCTCAGAGTTTGTCTCTTTGTTGATAGTAAATAGTCAGATTGACCATTTATAGCAACCATTATACTCCATGGAGTGTGAAAGATGTTATCTTAGACCTTCATACTTCCCTTTTAACACAGAACAAATTAAGGCACTGGGAATGAAAGGGGCCAACATTTACTTATAAGAAGTGAAGTTTTTAGCTGGTCTGAGTCTTAGTGTCCTGAGTTTATATTTCATCCTTTGGCCATTGAAGACCTATGCATGGTTTCCCTCTCAAAAAATGCACAATTTATATGCCTAAGTTTGTTGCTAAGTCAGCATTTACCAAGAATCTACTGAAAACCAGACCTTGTTCCTGACACCAGAGATGAATAAATTTCATGTTCACCTCATCTGAATGTAATCTATAATGAGGCATATAGTGAGGCACAGCCTCACTATAATATTACTCAGCACAATATTCTTCAACCTTAAGTGGAATAAGATGCATAGCAAATGACCAATGTTATATATTATATATGGGAAATAGGTGGGTAGATAATGGCATAGATGAGAATATATCTTTAGATTTTGAGGTATGAACATAAATCATATGAAAGACTCATTCTGGGAGCATGCTAGAGAGCTGGTAAGGAAGAGTTGGGTATAAATGAAGTATCAGGAAGTTTTTCCTCACGATAATATTTAAGTAAGCTCCTAGCACATTAGTAGACACTTAATAAGTACTCACAAGAACAAGTATCCATTTCCCACATAGATAACAGCATGATGTATGAGACCATTCTGCATCTTGCACTTATACTTGACTTTTGTTTTCTAGGTTATAATGAACTTGGCTCAGACATACTTACTACAAGTAAGTATCAAACCATGCCAACTTGGTCTTGGTCAAGGCTTTGCTCCTCATTTACAAAGGAAGCTTGCCCCAAACACAAGCCAGTCTCCTGAGTGGAGCCAAGGCCTTAGTAGTAGAAAAATGAGCCCCTGGCCTGTTTTTTGCCCTTCAGCCCAAGCATTGGATTTCTGAATTCCCTATACTCCTTCAGCTTAGAGGAAACAATATGAATAAGTGATCATTACTTATAAAAAGGATCATGTCAGATAGTAATTTGTTAATTTCTTCTTTTATTTTTGAGATTATAATATACTTACAACATCTTCCCCTTTGCTTTCTTCCCTCCAAAACCACCTATAAACCTCCTTTCTCTTTTCAAATCCATGGCCTTTTTCTTTTCATTATTTGCTGTTACTTGCATAGATGTATATTTATATACAAATATATTCCTAAATATAACCTGCGCAGTCTGTATAATGTTACTTGTACCTATGTTTTCAGGACTGACTGTTAGATATTGGATAATCAGTTGGTGTGCTCTTTCCTAGGGAAGACTATTTTTCCCACTCTCATCATTCCTTGGCTGCCTGTAGTTCCTTGGGTAGGGTTAAGAACTCATGGGCTTTTTTCTCATTCAATTTGGCATGTCTGTTGTTGTTGTCCTTGTTCAGCTTATGTTTATGCAGTCATGCTGGTGAGACTTTATGAGGATAGCTTCTGGCATTACTGGAATACATAGTTTCATACCAAACTCCCTAATACTCTGGCTCTTGCAAACTTTCCCCTGACTCTCCTGCAATGTTTCTAGAGCCTTGGCTGCAAGAGTTATTTTATAGATGTATCCAATGTCATTGGCACTCAGCTTCACCAATCTGCATTTTGATTGGTTGGGGGTTACTGTAATGGTCTCTGTGTGCTGCAAAGAGAAGTTTTCTTGGTGAGGGATAAGGACTACATTTTAAATAGAAATTCTTTAATTTATGTCTACTATAACCCGAACTACTATAGTCTTAAACAGGGGCTTCATTGTCAAGTTATGCACTGTGATTGCTGTAGTTGTTGTTGTTTTTACCTTTAGGTTCTTTTGCTCTTTTGGGTGCCTGCCACCAAGCTTCCAAATACATACATGGACAGAGGCTTATTCTTACTTATAAATGCCCAGCCTTAGCTTGGCTTATTTCTAGCTAACATTTCTTAAATGTATCTTTTGTCTCGGGGTTTTACCTTTCTCTGTTTCCATATATTTCTATATCTTTTCTGTTCTTCGTACTCCATGTCTGTCTGTGTTGCTGGGTGGCTGGTCCCTTCTTTTCTCAATCCTTCCTCCTTGATCCTCCTCTCCTTCTATTTGTTTTCTTTGCCTGCAGCCCCACATATCCTTTCTCCTGCTGCTCAACTATTTATTAGACCATAAGATGTTTTAGACAAAGTAACATAGCTTCACAGAGCTAAACAAATGCAACATAAAAGAATGCAAGACATTTTTGCATCATTTTAAACAAATGGTCCACAGCATAAACAAATATAACACATCTTAAAATAATATTCTACAACAGATTGCTACTCAAGTTGTTTTGGCTAACATACTACAGTTTCATTTTATGTCCCAATCACCTACATTTTACTGCAACTGTTCTTCCATTTTTATAATTAGTCCTAGGACACCTCATTTACATCCAATCAATCTACTAATTTTCCTGATAATTTTGTTACTTACTTTTCATGTTCATTATTCCTCTTTTCTGCCTTTGTTCATACTTCCATTCATTCTCAGTTATCTACCATGCATGCAATTATCCATTTATCCATCAACCCACCAACTTATCCATACATCTAACAACATATACATGTATACATCCACTCACCTACCTACCTATCAATCTATCAATGAATTAAACCAATTAAATTCTCATCCACTCATCACTGTATGTATACTTATATCCACCTATTTAATTTTAGTTTATTTACTTGAATTTTTCTCCTTTGTTCTTTCCCCTATGTATCATCCACATATCCATACATTCATCCCTACATCCATCCACACACATATCCATTCATTCCTCCCCATGTACCCACTCACTCACCTCATGCTTAACCCAGTCTGTCCATCCATCCATGCATGCACCAACTCACCCATTCAAGCACAAATTCACCCACCTGTTCACTCATCCAATTATGATATTCATTCAATTATTTGTTCTAGTCTCCATAGCTCCCATTTCTCATGTTTTTATTCCTCTTGAAATATGTTTTGAGCCATTTATCACTTTCTTATCTGGCTTCAAATTGATGAACTACTCTTGATTTTCATTGTTTTGAATACATTTCATTCAGAAACTTAGTTCCCCCTCCGCTCAAACAGTCACTCTTGTTTATGGTCCATTTGTCAATGGTTGGTCTGGCTTGAACAACTTCTGTAAGAGCTTCCTTGACTGTATGTGGGCTCTGTTTATCACTGCTAACAGCCTTTTCCACAGCTCCTGAGCCAAGCACCACCATCCTGCCTTTTATACTGACATCTGTGCTACCAGAATCCACCACAGGTATTTGGGGAAGCCTTTTCCTATATTTGATGAACAACCCTGTCCCACACTTCCACCTCCTGACTGACATGAGACCTAGGAAGCCATGATGTGAGGATCCAGTGCCAGTAGCATTATTACAGTAATAAGATTTGACCAGCATTTCAGTCAGATGCCTGCCCTCATGCAGCTACCAGGCTTCTGAGATGAATAGACTAGGACAGTACAACGAGGGATTCTTGTGAAGTGAGAGGCACCTGACACAATATAAGTGTGTGGGGGCCTTCTAGAGAAAACTCCACCTGAACTGAATCTCCCAGGATGAAAAAAATAATAGATAAATTGTCATGATTTTTTGCTGTGAAGGAAGATAGGCTCAGTGGCCATCAAGAGCAAGTGAGTGGAGAGACTAGAGGAATTTGGTTTTCTTGAAGCATGAAGCTCAGCTTCCAGTGATGGCTCTCCATGTCCACCTCAGGACCCAAAAGGCCATAGTGTTAGGCACAGAATTGATAAGTAACTGAATCTGGGAATCATAAGAAACCACATTAAAGGAATCTTGAGTATCAAACCAAGAAACATGAACTTGACACTGAAACTTCAAAGGGAGCCATAGGTGGTAAGAGCACTGGGGGGTATCCTCGTGAGTTTTTCCTTTCAACAATACCTTTCTTGTGTTCATCATAGAAAAATCCACTTATATGGAACACACAGTGAATCTTGTAGGGAAATAGTCTGGATATGAGAAGATAAGGCCTGATCTGTTATGGAAAAGGAGATAGCACATATGAAGAACATTCTGAATAGGGGATTGGTATGACATGGAGACGAGATGATCATCTCTGACTTGGATGTGTACAATGACAGATGGTGGCAAACTGGGACATAAAACTTGATAAATATAGGAATCTAGTGTAGTATCAGGCAAACTCTCAGTTATAGATATCTCTTTCTGTCTTACTACAGCTGTGGAGCATCATCTGAAGACTTTCACAATCAATTTTACCATCTCTAATCTTCCATATTCAGAAGATATGAACTATAGTTCAGCCATGTTCAATTCCACTGAGAGTATTCTACAGCACTTGGTGAGACCCTCATCCTGGAACCTCCTTGTAGGACAAACTTCCTGTATATCCTGCGTCCAACACTTTTCTCTTTTTCGTTTTTCCTTCCTCTGTAGCTTAGACCCTTGTTCCAGAATATATTCTTCAACTCAAGCTGCAGACTGACTTCCCTCAGGTGAGTTTACTTCCTTATTTTCCAGAAATGACTTACCTATTTTGACCCTTCTGCTGTTTCCTCCTTCCCTGGGACTCTCACCCACATTAAGATATCTATAGAGTGATATCTTACTCTTTTCAGACCTGAGAAGAATCAAAATTCCACTAGTGTAAATGTCATTTGCTCCTACCAACATGATTCTGCACATCCTGGGATGCACACACAGGAGATGTATTCAGAGCTGAGCCATCTGACCCATGGAGTCACTCAGCTGGGCAATTATACATTGGACAAAGACAGTCTCTATGTGAATGGTGAGCATGGTCTGTGTTTTCCTATGGGATGTCTTCAGCCACTCTTTATTTTCCTAGCCTTTTCAAAGTCAGTGATCTCTTTCTAGACTAGTTGCTTCTATGTTCTTAGATTCTTCTTCAGAGAAGTTGAGAAGCACCCATAAATAGCATTTCAGGAAAGTAGATATACCTGGCCATACTATGTCCCAAGTCAGGAAGAAGATGAGTATAAATACTGGCCTTAATCTCTCTTTCTATTTCTTTTATGGTTCAGGAGCTTTGTCCATATGATAGAGCTACCAAGAATTAGGGTAGAGCTATGTACTTCATTTAAACTAATCCCAAACCCTCCTCACAGAATGCCCAGAGCTTTGTCTTCTTGGTGATTCTATGTCTTATCAGTTTACAATCAGTATTTACCACTGCGTAGCATGATGTTTATCCAAGTTACTCTCATTTTAACACAGAGACAAACTAAAGCACATGTAGGTAAATGGACCTTCCAACTGTAACATAAATTTGTCTGGATATGAATTCTAATGTTTCATGTTTAAATTTGGTCCTTTAACTTGGCCATTGCAAGGACTCATGCAGGATTTTTCTATCTAATAACATATAATTTAAATTCATCATTGTATTGTTCACTCAGCATTTTTCAAATATTCATTATAATGCAGACATTATGGTTGACACTAGGAACAAATAAGTTAAGTTATATGCAGACTTTGTCTCGGTGTAAATTGTAGTGGAGCATGGAGTGTTTAGTTCAATTCTACATTCTTCAAGTAGAAATGCCACACCAAACATGACAACTTCCCAATAAATATGTGTCATATGAATATAGAGAGAGTGTAGAGAGTGGAAAGGATGATGGTATAAGTGGATGTATATAAATATGGGAGTGATACATGAAAATAAAGCATATAGACACACTTTGGGGAGCATAATTGAGATTGAGTAGGGAACAGTTAAATGAGTTGAAACACCAGAACATTCTTCAGTCAGATCATAGAACATCAGTAGATGCTCAGTCCGTGTATAAAGTGATACACATCTACACTTATTTGTGTTTTTTGCTTTTCTAGGTTACAGTGGAACTGGTACAGAAGAATCAACCACAAGTAAGTATCAGTTTAGCCTGACTTGGGTCTTGATCCATGCTTTTCTCCTCATTTCTAAAGGAAGCTTGTCCTAAACAAGTCAGTCTCTGGAGAGTGGTCAAAGTTTCAGGGGAAAGAAGATGCAGAGCTGGTGGCTTCTTTTTGGGACTGAAGCCCTAGTGTTGGATTTCTGAATTTTCCTCAATCCTCTGAATCAGAAGAAGAAATTTGAACAATTGTTTCATATGGTGTTATTAAGCTAAATTAATTCAGAGACTGATTTATGTTACCTAAAACAAATGCTGTTGAGGATGTAGTAGAGGCTTCACTGTTAAGTAGCAAATTTTGATGTCTACTAAAGTGTTTGGACAAAATAGCCCACTCATTCAGTATCCCACTCATCTATCTTTCCAGCTGTCTATTCTTTCATTTGCTAGTTACTGTTCCTCCAGAAACACATTTTTAATCATCCATCCATCCATCCATCCATTATCCTTTCCATTATACTGTATTTCTTCATTTCTTCTATCAGTCCTTCTCTAGTCATCTGTCTAGCCATTCATCCATCCCCTGTTTATTCACCTACTCATACTCCTCTCCATTTGCTAGCTTGTCCTTTATTTCTTTGATATTTACCTCTTTTACACACACACACACACACACACACACACACACACACACACACACACACACATCTACCCAGTCATCCATCCATTATCCCCCTACATACCTATCCATTCATATACCCACCCACCATGCAACCACCCACCCATGTATTCAGTATCTTGACATATGTCAACTCATTCAACTATCTACCTATCTACATTCTCATATGTATTGGTCAGATTATCAATTCCTTTTCTCTTTCTTTCTTTGTGCATCTATCTAGCCATACGTACCTGTATCCATCCATTCATCACCTATTCATTCATCCATCCATTCAGTCATCAACTCATCCATCCACCCATTTACCACCAGACCCATCCACCAATATGTCTATCCACCCACCTATTCATTCACTTACTTACCCCAACAAAAATCTATCTATTCATGTACTTCCCCACCATCCATCATGTTCATTTACTTACATGTTATTTGTTCCCTCTTTCCTTCCTTCCATTTCTCCAGATACTTATTATTCTTCAATTTCGGGTTGACCCTTCATCTATCCATTCTTCTTTCTACTTATCTACTTACCAATTCAATTACTGTCTTCCAATTAATTTATCCTCTCTTCTCAGTCTTTCTCCAGCCAACCACTCTCATTATCTGAGTTAATTTTATTCACAGGCTTTTCCAACATTACTGCCATTCACTCTTTTTTGTATTATCTACCTATGAATGGTTTGGTCTGCTTTGGACTACTGCTGCATGGGCTTCTCTAACTACCTGGGGATTTTCTCAACCCTGATGACATTCCTTTCCACAGATCCTGAATTGGCCACTACCATACTGCCTTCTCCATCAATATCTGTGCAAACAGAATCCACCACAGGTATCAAAGGACCTGTTTCTATCATTATAAGATAGCCTGTCCCACAGTTCTGATTTCTATATGGGATCTAGACACAAGAATATGAAGAACCTAGTTCCATAGCCATCATTACAGACACAAAGATTATAGTAGCAATTCAATCAGTAGCCAAGCTTTATACAACCACCAGTATTGCAAGATGAACAGACCATTGCAGTGCAGTGAGAAATTTGGTATGTGCAGCAGCTCACATAATACATAGAGAAAGGGGTTTTCTAGAGACAGTTCAATGTGATCTGAATCTCTCATGCTGAGTAGGAGTGGTCTAAATAAATAGGACATAAAGTGTTGCTGGAAATGATATCAACAACATGGGCTCATTGACTTAGAAAAACATAGTATAATGGGATAAATGAGAGGAATTTGGCATCCATGGAGCATAAAGTTCATCGCCTAATATAGCCTTTGCATTTTTAGTCCAAAGCCCATAAAGACAGGATGGTAGGTCCAGATTGATGAATAACCAAAGCTAAAATGACATGAGAAACTAGATTGGAAAGGGCCCTGAGTTACAAATCAAAACACTCAAACTGAACCCTGAAACTGCACAATGATCTATGAGTTGTAGGAGCAAGAGGGCAGTCCCAGTTAGACTTTCTTTTCAGAACACTCTTCTAAAGTTCAGTGTAGAAAAAGTCCCTTAGACAGTATATCCTATGAGTCTGGTAGGGTTATAGTGTGGATAAGAGAAGATATGATTATGATAGGAAATTACACATGAATTATGTTAGGAACATTCAGAAAGGTGAATTAATGTGGCACAGAGATGAGATATTAAGGTTGTGTGTATGGTGAGAATGATGATAAGATACAAGGAGATATTACTTGATGAGTATAGGATTCTAGTCTAGCCCCAGACAAATTCTTAGTCATATCTCTTCCCAATTCGTTCAGCTGTGGGGCATCATATGAAGACTGTCACAGTGAGTTTCATCATTTCCAACCTTCCATATTCAGCAAGTATGAACAATGGCTCAGCTGTGTTCAATTCCACTGAGACTCTCCTGAAGAACCTGGTAAGACCCTCATTCCAGTAGCTTCCATTTGGATAAGTCATATCATCTACTCTATCCAAATTTTATTTCCATTATTTTCCTTGCTTTTCTCCCCAGTTGGAACCCTTGCTCCATAACGTTTTTTTCAACTCAAGTTGCAGACTAGATTCCCTCAGGTGAGTCCACTTTCTGCCCATTTGCCAGATATCTATTATTGTTGCCCCCCACTTGCTCCTTCCTCTTTCTGTTTCCTATCTGCATTATACCTTTTCTAAAATCTCTATACTCCTTGCCTTCTAGGGCTGAGAAGAATGGAACAGCCACTGGTGTGGATGCTATCTGCACCTACCACCAAGACCCTTCACTTCCTGGGATGGATACTCAGGGACTGTACTCAAAACTGAGCAACATGACACATGGAATAACCCAGTTGAGCAACTATACACTGGACAAAGAGAGTCTATATGTCAATGGTGAGCATAAACTGTGGTTTGTTGTGGAGGAAGTTGAGGCATCCTTTATTTTTTTCTACCTCTATCAATAGTATTGATAGTATTGTCTAGACCAGTTTGGTCTATCTTCTTAGCATTTTGTTTCAAAAATTCAAGAAGCACACATGAATAGCCTGGCAAGGAGGTATGGATGTATGGTCATATTGTATACAAAATCGGTAAGTAGAAGGGTATGAATACATTTGCTGAGCTTCCTTTCTAACTCTTCTTAGATCCAAGAATGTATCCCAAAGATTATGGTACCCATATTTATTTATGCTTACTCTTTCCATCCTAACTAACAAGATATAGAAAATTGATTGCAGATGTGTCCAGAGAATTTAAGTTCAATGACTCTATGTCTTGTCAATTGCCAAGCTACTTTAACTATAAAACCCTATGAAGTGGACAAGAAGATACAATGTATCTACATTACTCTGAATTTAAAAAAGAAAGCAAACAAACTACAGAGCTACAAAGGGACTTGCCCTTCCTACACTGAGTTTTGTCCAATCAAAATGCTGACATGCAACTTTTTATACCCAATCTGTTACATCAAGCCATTGCAAGGATTTGTGTACAATTACCAGCCTCTTTCCATTTTCCATTCTGCATTTACTATAAACCATACCATATGCCTGATACAAAGAACCAGTAACTTTCATCTGTACCTTTTCCTAATGTGAACTGCAGTGGGGGGCACACACTGTGTTTTATTTTTTATTTGTGTCTGTTTGTACTATATACTTCCATTGGAAATGGAATACTACCCATAGTAAATGCTCAATAAGAATATAAGATAGTTCTCTGTTAGAAATATAAGTTAGGATAAAAAGTGAATCAGGTACATTTTGGACTTACCAAAATAGGATAGACAATGGAATATTTTCTCTGAGTTTGTCAAATACAAATGGATTAGACATTGTTGAGGTATTAATTGATTGTATATATTGTATATAGTTATTTTACTTATGAATATAATTTTTCTTATATTAGTTATAACTTTTTTCTTTTTATTAGAATAAAAAGGGTGAAATGTGGTGATATTTTATTTGGGATGAAATGTGATATTTTATTTGTATGTTAATAAATAAAATTGCCTGGAGATCAGAGATCAAATATCCATTAAGCAAAAGTTTGGCAGTGGTAGCACATGCCCATAATCCAATCACATGGCAGGCCGAGTCTCTATGTGGTCAAGGACATAGCCAAGGATGGTGACACGAGCCTTTAATCCCAGTACCAACCACAGAAACCCGGAGGTCTGTATAGACAGGCATTGACGACGAAGTGGTGTGACTGGGCTTAGAGCCAATGAGAAGGGAGAACAGACAGGCAATAAAAACACAAGTCAGGCAGGAAGAAATCTCTCTCTCTGGGGAAGCTACTACTGGTGGTAAGCTAAAGCTAGTCGTGGCTATTGCTCTGATATCTTTGGCTATTTCCTCTGTAAAAAAAAAAAAGAATATATATTCTAAATGGATATATAGTGGCAGAATATAAGGAAAGATAATGGTGTGTATTGATGAATACATAATATGGTGGAAGTGAGGTGTGAAAATATGTTTTGTAAGAACCAATTGGGAACATGATAGAGGTATGGGAAGAAATTGGTTTAGTTAAAATACCAGGAAATTCTTTTCCAGGATGATTTGTCAGATCTTATAACATGAATATATGTTCACTAATCTATGTAAGGGTGGTGTGGTGCCATATGGGCCAAAGCATGCTGAATCTTTTCCTATGCTTTCCTGTCCTCTATTATGTCTTCTGTTTTCTAGGTTATAATAAACCTGCTCCAGAAGAACATCCTACAAGTAAGTACCAATTCAGCCCAACCTAGGTCTTGGTCCATACTTTTCTCCTCATTTCCAAAGGAAAATTGACCCAAATGCAAGCCAGTGTCTTCAGAAAGGCCAACTTCTCAATGGGAGAAAGATGCAAAGCCACTGGTCTCTTCTTGAAACTGCAGCTCTCATGTTGGTTCTGAATTTTCCATATTCTTCTTGGTTGGAGAATTATATTTGTAAAAGTATAACCTATAGAATTATAGGACTTAGTTTAGATGGTTACTGTGTGATTTATGTTTCCTAAAAAGAAGAGTACCCATCAGGGGCTTTATTATCAAGCTGCAAATTCAGATGACTATTTTAGTGTTTTAACTGAAATTGCTTTCTCTCTTGTATTTGTTCTAGTTTTAATTAGTTCTTTTATTAGTTTAGTTTTTTTATTTTTATTTTTATTTTTATTAGTTCTTTTAAATTTTTATGAAATATATTTTGATCATGTTTTCCTCTCCCATCATTGCTCTCACGTCCTCCTCACTTCCCTACTCACCCAAATTCCTTTTCTTCCTCTCTTTTTCAGTTTCTCTGTCTCCCTCAATGTACTTAAAATACAAAAATGAAAATCCAAACAAATAAGAAAACAAACAAAAAAGCAATATTAAATAAGTTCAGTAACTAGAAATTGAAACAAAAATCTCATACCAAATTAAAAAATGAAAAAAATGATGTCTGTTTTATGTTCTCTAACTATTTCTGAGCATGAGTCCAACTCTGAGTGTGTTTGATATAACCAGTGACACTCCGCTGAAGAAAACTGATTTTCCCTTTCTTAGCAGGTATAAATTGCAAGTAGCTTCTTCTTCTTCTTCTTCTTCTTCTTCTTCTTCTTCTTCTTCTTCTTCTTCTTCTTCTTCTTCAGTTTTTCAAGACAGAGTTTCTCTGTGTAACTCTGGCTGTCCTGGAACTCGCTCTGTAGACCAGGCTAGCTTCAAACTCACAGAGATCCGCCTGCCTCAGCCTCCCAAGTCCTGGGAATAAAGACGTGTGCCACTACCGCCCTGCACAAATAGCTTCTTGACTGGGGGTGGAACTTTGTGTCCTCTTCGCTTTCTCAGTGCTGTAATTTTGTCTGTTTTAAACTTATACAGTTCAAACATTCAACAATGACAATCCTTTCCACAGCTCCTGAGACATCCACCACTATCCTACCATCCACCACTACATCTCAGCAGCCAGAACCTGACACAGGTATATCGGGATCCCATTAACTGCCTTTGGTTAGATCCCTGTCCCACACCTCCACCATCTGTCTTCCAGATAGAGCTAGGACACCTATATATGAAGATCCTAGTGTCAGGGTCATTTTCATATGCACAAGGATCAGACTAATAATCCAACCAGGTACTTGCTCACATTCAGCCAAAAGGCATGTGAGACAAATAGACTACTGCAATACTTTAGATATTTGTGGGGTTGGAAGTATGGAGGTAACAGGTGTATAACATAATGTAGAAAGGAGAAGGCTTTCTGAGGAAAATTCTGAACTGAATCTCTCAGGATGAGTAGGAGTCATCCAGATAAATGAAGCATGAAATGTTCCAGGAAGTAAGGATTTCAATAAGAGGGCTCAGTGACCACGTAGAATTGAGAGGATTTTGGTTTCTATGAATCATATTGCTCAACTCCCAGTGCAGCCACTCTGTGTCCTGCTTAGCACCTACTAGGTCAATTGGGAGGCTCAAGATAGATGAATAAACGAGAATGGAAGTCAGTGAAAGCTGCTGTGGGATGCCGTCTGTTGCTGTGATAAATGTGGTAGTCTAAAGGAACTTGGGGAAGTACGAGTTTATTTCAACTTATAGTTCCATGTTACAGTCTGTACTTAAGGGAAGCCAAATAAGAACTCAAGGCAGAAAGCTAGAGAGAGGACTTAAAGCAGATCATTGGGGAACTTTGTGTACTGGCTTGCTTTCAGGCTCATATCAGATAGCTTTCTTATACTTCCCAAGCCCACCTGCCTGGTGGTGGTGCTGCTCATAGTTGACTGGGTCTCCTACATCAAGTAGTAATCAAGGTGATGCCCCATAGACAAGCCCACAGGTCAGTATGACGGGTACAATTCTTCAATATTTCTTCCCAAGTGTGATGACTTGAAAACAAATATTAGTCACCACAAGTGTCAAATTTTCAAGCTTGTACTTGCCCCTGAAAGCACACATAGAACGATGGGTAGTAATGGACTCTGAATCATCCTAGTAAGAGTTTTCATTTCAGAAAGACACTGCTAGTGCTCAGGATAGAGAACATCTTTAGATAGAGCATTCATTGAGTCTGAAGGAAAAACATTCTAGTCGTAAGAACTAAGCTAGAATGAACAGATAATTAATGTGAGGAACATTCAGAAAAGGCCGTTTTTGTGATGTAGAGTTAATAAGATGTGTAGTTTCTGACCTGAATGGATACTTTGGGATATGGTTAGAGACTTGAAGTGAAGACAAGCTGATGAGAACAGGATTCTACTCTGGTATCAAGCAATTCTCAGTGGTATCTCTTCTCTTCATGCAGCTATGGGGCACCATCTGGAGATCCTAACAATCAACTTCACCATAACCAATCTTCCATATTCATCAAATATGAGCAATGGCTCAGCTGTGTTCAGCTCAACTGAGAGTGTCCTGCAGTACCTGGTGAGAACCTTATCCAAGCAGTCTGGGGGAGATAAATCCCATATGACCTCTTTTCAATGCCTGTTTTCATTTCCCTCCTCCTTCACCATCCACAGCTTGGACACTTGTTCCAAAATGATTCCTTCAACTCAACCTGCAGTTTGGATTCCCTCAGGTGAGGCTACTTTCTGACCATTGGCCAGGAATGACCATTGCTTATTGTTACCGTTCTCATTCCTAGTTCTTCCCTCTGGTTCTGATCTTCATTATGACTTTTCTGAAATCTCCACACTCCTCTCTCTCTCTAGGCCTAAAAGAAATGGAACAGCCACTGGTGTGGATGCCATCTGCACCTACCACCATGACCCTTCACATCCTGGGATGGACATTCAAGGACTGTACTCAGAGCTGAAAAATCTGACCCAGGGAATCACCCAGCTGGGCAACTATTCACTGGACAAGGACAGTTTATATGTCAATGGTAAATTTCTTTGTGGTTTGCTGTGAATGTCCCCCAAGCATCCTGTATTTTTTCTCTCTCTTTGGCAATAGTATTGATAGTACTGTCTAGACCAGATTATTGTATGTTCTTATCACCTTTTTTCAAAATTCAAGAAGCACACACAAATAGCCTGGTAAGAAGGTTTGCCCTATGTTCATTATTGTGTGGAAAGTCATCAAGCAAAGGGATAGAAATACATTTTCTAAGCTTCATTTCTACTTCTTCTTGAATCCAGGAATGTATCCCAATGTTTTTGACCCCTACATTAATTTACACTGGGTGTTTCCATCCTAACTAATCAGATAAAGAAACTTGCTTGCTAGTATGTTGAGAGAATTATCAGTTCAATGTCTCTATGTCTTGTCAAAGCCACTTTAACCATAATACCCCTTGAAGTTGGCAAGAAGATATAATGTATCTATATTACTCTAAATTTTAAAAAAGAAAGCAAACAAAGCGCAGAGCTGCAAAGGGATTTGCCTTTCCTACACCGAATTTTGACCAATCAAAATTTTGACATGCAGCATTTTATATCCAATGTGTTTCACTAAGCCATTGCTAGTATTTGTGTACAATATTCAGCCTCTTTTCATTTTCTGTTCAGCATTTACTATAAACCATACCTTGTAAAAGAACAACAGCTTTCATCTGTACCTTTTCCTAATGTGAACTGCAGTGGAGGGAGACATACCCTTTGTTTTATTTATTTATTTTTGTCCCTTCATACTATATACTTCAGTTGAAAATGGAATATTATGCACAGTAACTGCTCAATGAGGATCTTCTTGATGAATATATAATGGTAGAGTAAAAAGAAAAAGAATGGTGTATATTGATGCTTAATATTGTGGAAGTGAGGTGTGAGAATATATTTTGTAAAAACTTATTGCAACATGCTAGAGGTGTGGGAAGAGATGGGTACAGTTGAAATACCAGGTAATTTTTCTCCAGTATGATTTGTCAGATCTTATAACATGAATTGATGTTCACTAATGTATATAAGGGCAATGTTGTGTCATATGGACGAAAGCATGCTGAATCCTTTCCTGTGCTCTCCCTTCCTCTTACCTGTTTTCTATTTTCTAGGTTATAGTAAACCTGCTCCGGAAGAACATCCTACAAGTAAGTACCAATTCAGCCCAACCTAGGTCTTGGTCCATACTTTTCTCCTCATTTCCAAAGGAAAATTGACCCAAATGCAAGCCAGTGTCTTCAGAGAGGCCAACTTCTCAATGGAAGGAAGATGCAGAGCCACTGGTCTCTTCTTGAAACTGCAGCTCTCATGTTAGTTCTGAATTTTCCATATTCTTCTTGGTTGGAGAATTGTATTTGTAAAAGTGTAACCTATAGAATTATAGGACTTAGTTTAGATTGTTACTGTGTAATTTACATCTCCTAAAAAGAAATGTCCCCATTAATGTTATGGTCCAAGCCCCAGGCTGGGTTCTGGTCCTGAGACAGGCAAGGGGCATATGTGCAAAGGAATGAATTGTCCAACCACCAGATGAATTTCACACAAGTGTCTCATCCTGAATATCTCCAGTCATTTTTATTTATATATCAAAAACAATCTTTTTTTATACTAACAAGCATGTTATTTCCCATCCTACAAGGTTAACCTCCAGCAAAAACAAATATGTCAAATATGTTTTCTCCCAACTTTTACATCAAAACATCTTTAAACCAAAAATAACACTTAATCATTTTGCTAGTTTGGCCAAACACCGAGCCAGGTACATCCTGTTTCTAAAAAACTAAAAGGTGATTGACATAAGCACACATTTGCAAGACCAACAATGTCATTCAAAACATATTTACAGAAATAGGAGTGATCTGCCTCTGATCCTATCAGCACTGAATTAGAACAGGTCCAGGGGTCTGAAGTGACAGGTGGCATCCCCAGACAAGAAACCTGAGAAGCAGCAGCTTCCAAGAAATTCAGGGAAAGGTATTTGAGAAAACATAGGGTTTCCATCCCAAGCATGATTGACAAAATAACACTAAAACAACCAAGAGAATCATCAGTCTATATAAGAGAGAAGAGAGCCCCAACAGTATTCTGCACTGTCCACAAAGTCCACTGGTCCTTGCTGAGCGAGACTGTCTTTAGCCTTCTCTGGAGACCCATTGGACAAGCACTCATATACCGATCTGCAACTCTGCAGCACAGCTCCCAACACATCAGGGTCTTTGTTATCAAGCTGAAAATTCTGGTAACTGTTTCAGTGATTTAACTAAAATTGCCTTTTCTCGTTTATTTTGTGTAATTTTTTATTGGTTCTTTGAGAGTTTTATACAATGAATTTGTGTTGCTATTGCATCAATGGACATGTTACCAGGCCAGTCATTATTGTGGCTCAAAGCATTAACAGTTGAGTAAGATTGGTGATTCCTTTCCTCCTCCAGTAGCATACATAGGACCTTCCAGCACTCTGAAAGCTAACCAGAAGGGATGAAGCTTCAAGCTGAGTAAAAGATTTACCTCCCCATGTGCTATGGCCCAAGTTTGTGGCATCTTCACAATTTGGGTCTCACCAAGAAGTTCTGGAGGGTTACCAAAAGCATTGGCAATAGCTAGTAATGTTTGGGAGTCTACAGTACATCACTTGCCAACAACTCCAAAAGGAATAATCCATTTTGAGACTGGACTCGCCTCTTCCAACTGAGTTCAATATCCAAAAGGAATAATCCATTCCTGGTGCTAAGTTTTTATTTGTCATCCTGTGGTGTCAAGTGTGTAGCTAGATTTTTCCTGCCTGGCCCACAGTCAGGGCAAATCTCTCTCACCTGCCAGTCCCACAGCCGCTCCGACCCAACCAAGTAAACACAGGGACTTATATTGGTTACAAACTGTATGGCCGTGGCAGGCTTCTTGCTAACTGTTCTTACAGCTTAAATTAATCCATTTCTATAAATCTATACCTTGCCACATGGCTCGTGGCTTACCGGCATCTTCACATGCTGTTTGTCATCGGCGGCTGACAGTGTCTCTCTGACTCAGCCTTCTACTTCCCAGCTTTATTCTCCTCCTTGTCCTGCCTATACTTCCTGCCTAGCCACTGGCCAATCAGTGTTTTATTTATTGACCAATCAGCAACACATTTGCCATACAGAACATCCTACAGCACAAGTGGGGCCCCATTATCTAGCAACTCCACTTAGACTTTTTATATGTGTGTATGCATATACTTCAGGAAGCTTCTATAGTATTAGCTTCTGTCTGGCTTTTTAGAATGCCCTTAGTGTTAATTATCCATCCCTTTATTATCCCTCTACCTGATCATTTGACTAGGTAACTCCTATCGATTTGACAATTCCAGTTTCATTATTCCCTTTCAACCCTTAATATCACCACATTCTATCAAATGAAACACTCAAATCTAAAGATTCAAAGCTAAAAGCCACAAACCATAAAAAACACATGACTTTGTTTCTCTGAATTGAGGTTATTTCACCTAACATGATTGTTTCCAGTGCCAAACAATTACCTGAGCATTTCAAAAATATGCATTTTTATTTAAATTTTTATGCAATTTTGATCATGTTTCCCTTCCCGGTTTTGCTCTCAGGTTCTCCCCACTGACCTACTCACTCAAATTCATTTTCTTCCTCTCTATTTCCTCTTTTTGTTTCTCTCTCTCCCGCAAAGGACCCAAAAGACAAAAATGAAAATCCAAACAAACAAACAAACAAAAACCAAATCAATAAGACAAATAAATTCAAAACAAAAAAAAATGAAACAAAAAACTCATACCATATTTAAGAATGAAAAAAAATGGTGTCCAATTTTGATTCTCCAACTATTTCTGGGCATGACTCCATCTTTGGGTGTATTTGATATACCCAGTGACACTCTACTGCAGAAAACTGATTTTCCCTTTCTTAGCAGGTATAAATTGCAAGTAGTTTCTCGGCTAGGGGTGGAACTTCGTGTCCACTTCACTTTCTCAGTGCTCAAATTTGGTTTAAAATAATACAGGTCAAAGGATTGTAGATGACTCCAGTGAAACAGAATCTTCCAGATACAACAGGACTGATACACATATGAACTCAAGGCAACTATGGCAATTGTATTATTCTTACCAGCTTAAAAATATTGAGAGAATGTATCATTTTTATTATGTCTCTGTCTGTTGATGGACATCTGGATTGTTACAATTTCCTAGATATTTTGAATAGAGCAGAAATAAGCATGGATATTCATGTTTCTCGATAGTAGCATTTAAACTCCTTTGAGTGTATGCCCAAGAGTGATAACGCTAGATCTCAGTGTATCTATTACTGGCATTTTAGGAATCTCCACACGTGTTTCTGTAGTGGTTACATCCCCAATAGTGAATAACTGCTCCTGTTACCCACATCCATGCCAGCGTTTGTTGTCATTTCTTTTTTATGTATTTGTTTGTTTGTTTTGTTTTGTTTTTGGATCTTAGCCATTCTGATAGGGGTAAGATGAAATCTTAAAGAAGTTTTAATTTTCTTTTCCCTGATAAAAAGGGATGCTGAACATTTCTTAAAAAAGATTTCTCCACAATAAAAAAAGGTTTATCTTTCATTCTGTGAGAATTATCTGAGCCATGCTACACTTTCAGTTGGGTTGTTTTCTTGATTGTTAATTTTTTTATTTATATGTATATTCTAGACACAAACTCTATCAGATTTGTAGCTGATAAAGATTTTTGCCATTCTGTAGGAAGCTGCTTTATTCAAATAATGCTATCTTTTTCTGTAGATAAGCTTTTTAGATTCAGAGGACCTGTTTATTAATTATTAGTCTTTAAGACTATGCTATCCAGGTTCTGTTCCCAAAACCTTTTCCTGTGCCAGTAAGTTTAAGTATATTCCACATTTTCTCCTAAATTATATCAGGGTACCAGGACTTATGTAAAGGCGGTTTAATCATTGGGAGTTAATTTGGGGTGTTCATTGGACTATTCATCATTTATCTTTCCAGATGTTTATACTTTCCATTTTTCTAAATATTCCTGAACACATACTACACTCCATCAATCCATATATCATTTACCCATCCGAGATCCATTCATTATTGGCCAGTCCATCCATCTGTCCATCCATCCATCCATCCATCCATTCTCTTGCCCATTCTTTTATATTTCCTTGTTTCTATTCTCTCATCCCTTTATTTATGATTTAATTCATTCACTCACCATTTTCACTGATAAACCAATACTATTGTTCATTTTCCAGCTCATACTTTATTTCTTCTTTTTCCCTTTATTCATTCATACATACGTTCACCTGACTTTTCATCAACTACATACCTGCCTATATATCCACATATTCAAGACCTACATGACCACCAACTCTTCTGTCAGCTACTTCCTATGTATCTTTCAGTATATTCAACTTTTTTTTTTTTTTTTTGGTTTTTCGAGACAGGGTTTCTCTGTGTAGCTTTGCGCCTTTCCTGGAACTCACTTGGTAGTCCAGGCTGGCCTCGAACTCACAGAGATCCGCCTGGCTCTGCCTCCCGAGTGCTGGGATTAAAGGCGTGCGCCACCACCGCCCGGCTATATTCAACTTTTTACACACCTATTTCTTCTCTTTGCTTGGCTTCTTAGTATTCACTGTCCTTCTTTCTCCTGTGAATACACATATCAGTCCATTCATGTATCCATGAATGCAGTACCTTCCATCCTACTCGTCCATCCACCTACACATCTATTTAAAGCTCATCAATATATTTATATAACTATGCAATAATCTGCCCATTGAGTCATACAAGCACAGACACAGACAGACAGACAAACACACACACACACACACACACGCACACACGCACGCACGCACACACACACACACACACACGCACACACGTACATACTTGTTTACCCATCATCAAATTCATTCACTTAGTTTACCTTTTTTCTCTCATTTCTTCTACCTCTCCATATTGTCTTTGATTTGATTCTTCTTGAATTCCATTTTGACCCTCCTTTTATATAACTTTCGGTCCATCAATCCATTTATCCTTTCTATTTTATATCATCCTTATCCATCTGTGTTCTTTGCTCATCCTTTATGCTAATCACTAATCTCAATATATTGGGTTAAATTCATTCATAGGCTTAATCACTTTTTCACTCACACAATCACTCTTCAGTATAGTTCATGGTTCAACTGTGAATGGTTGTGCCTCTCTCTGACCATAGCTAGAAAAAACTCTCTCACTATAGACAGTCTTTATTGTATGCAGAAAAGGGAAGAATTTCTGAGAAAAATTCCTCCTGAACTGAATCTATAAGAATGAGTAAGAGCAATCCAGAAAAAATGAAACATGAAATGTTCTTGGAAATGTGGGTTTCAACTATGATAATCCTTTCCACAGCTCCTGAGACATCCACCACTATCCTGCCTTCTACATCTACATCTCTGCAGCCAGAACCTGACACAGGTATGGTGAGGTCCCATTGCCTACCTTTGGTTAGATCCCTGTCCCACACCTCCACCATCTGTCTTCCAGATAGAGCTAGGACACCAATATATGAAGATCCTAGTGTCAGGGTCGTCTTCATATGCTCTAGGGTCACACTAACAATCCAACCAGGTACTTTCCCACATGTAGCCAAAAGGCATGTGAGACAAAGAGACTACTAAAAATATTTCTAGTGTGTGTGGGGGGGCAGTAGGAAGGTAACAGGCATGTAACATAATGTGGAAAGGAGAAGGCTTTCTGAGGAAAATTCCTCCTGAACTGAATCTCTCAGGGTGAGTAGGAGTCATCCAGATAAACTAAGAATGAAATGTTCCAGGAAATAAGGATTTCAATATTAGGGCTCAGTGACCAGTAATACTATAGTGGATATGTAGAATTGAGAGGATGTTTATTTCCATGAATCATGCTCCCAGTGCAGCCTCTCTGTGTCCTGCCTAGCACCTACTGGGTCATTTGGGAGGCTCAGGATGGATGAATAAATGAGAATGGAAGTCAATGGAAGATGACTTGAAAGCTGTTATAGGATGCCTTCTGTTGCTGTGATAAATGTTATAGTCTAAAGGAACTTGGGGAAGTATGAGTTTATTTCAACTTACAGTTCCATGTCACAGTCTATACTTAAGGGAAGCCAAATAAGAACTCAAGGCAGAAACATAGAGAAAAGTCCTAAAGCAAACCATGGGGAAATGCTACATGCTGGCTTCTTTCAGGTTCATATCAGCTAGTTTTCTTGTATATTGCAAGCCACCTGCCTGGTGGTGGTACTTTTCACATTTGACTGGATCTCCTATATCAATTAGCAATCAAGAAAATGCCCCAAAGATATGCCCAAAGGTCAATCGTGATGGAAGAAATTCTTTAATTCTTCTTCCTAAGTGTGAATACTTGACAACCAATATCAGCCAACACAAGTGTCAAATCTGCAAGCTTGTACTTGCCGCTGAAAGTGCACATGGAATCATGGGTATTAATGGACTATCAACATTTCTAGGGAGAATTTTAACTTCAGAAAGATGTTCTTACTACTCAGCATGGAGAACATCTTTAGACAGAGCATCCATTGAGTCTGAAGGAAAAACATTCTGGTCATAAGAACTATGCTAGAATAAAAAGGTAATTAATGTGAGGAACATTCAGATGTGATGCGGAGTTAAGAAGATATGTAGGATCTAACCTGAATGGATACTTTGGGATATGGTTAGAGACTTGAAGTGAAGACAAGCTGATGAGAACAGGATTCTACTCTGGTATCAAGCAATTCTCAGTGGTATCTCTTCTCTTCATGCAGCTATGGGGCACCATCTGGAGATCCTAACAATCAACTTCACCATAACCAATCTTCCATATTCATCAAATATGAGCAATGGCTCAGCTGTGTTCAGCTCAACTGAGAGTGTCCTGCAGTACCTGGTGAGAACCTTATCCAAGCAGTCTAGGGGAGATAAATCCCATATGACCTCTTTTCAATGCCTGTTTTCATTTCCCTCCTCCTTCACCATCCACAGCTTGGACACTTGTTCCAAAATGATTCCTTCAACTCAACCTGCAGTTTGGATTCCCTCAGGTGAGGCTACTTTCTGACCATTGGCCAGGAATGACCATTGCTTATTGTTACCGTTCCCATTCCTAGTTCTTCCCTCTGGTTCTGATCTTCATTATGACTTTTCTGAAATCTCCACACTCCTCTCTCTCTAGGCCTAAAAGAAATGGAACAGCCACTGGTGTGGATGCCATCTGCACCTACCACCATGACCCTTCACATCCTGGGATGGACATCCAAGGACTGTACTCAGAACTGAAAAATCTAACCCAAGGAATCACCCAGCTGGGTAACTACTCACTGGACAAGGACAGTTTATATGTCAATGGTAAATTTCTTTGTGGTTTGCTATGGAATATCCCCTAGGCATCCTTTATTTTTTTCTATTTCTATCAATAATATTGATAATACTTCCAAGACCAGTTTATTGTATGTTCTTATCACCTTTTTTTCAAAAATTCAAGAAGCACACACAAATAGCCTGGTAAGAAGGTTTGTCCAATGTTCATATTGTGTGGAAAATCAGCAAGCAGAGGGATAGAAATACATTTCCTGAGCTTCATTTCTACTTCTTTTTGAATCCAGGAATGTATCACAATGTTTTGGGTACCCATATTTATTTACACTTTCTCTTTCTATCTAACTAACCAGATAGAGAAACTTGCTTGCACATATGTCAAGAGAATTGTCAGTTTGATATCTCCATGTCTTGTCAATTGCCAACCCACTTAACCACAATACCCCATGAACTTGGCAACAAGATACAGTGTATCTACATTACTTTGAATTTAAACAAAGAAAGGAAACAAAGCACAGAGCTAAAAAGAGATTTGCCTTTTCTACATTGAGTTTTGACCAATAGAAATTTCAAGGTGCAGCTTCATATATCCAGTCTGTTTCATTAAGCCATTGAAAGGACTTGTGTATAATTTCCAGCCTCTCCTCATTTTCTATTCAGCATTTACTATAAACCACACCTTACGCCTGATTGAAAGAACCAATAACTTTCATTTGTACCTTTTTTCAAATGTGAAGTGCAGTTTGGTGGGGAGGGGCACAACCTGTGTTTTATTTTTTATTTTGTCTGTTCATAATATATGCTTCAAATGAAAATGGAATACTACCCATAGTAAATGTTCAGTAAGGCTCATCTGGGTGGATATATAGTGATAGAGTAGAAAGAAAGATAATGGTGAGTATTGATGCATAATATTATGGAACTGAGGTATGAAAATAGTTTTGTAAGAACCTATTGGGAACATTCTAGAGGTATGGGAAGAGATGGATAGTTGAAATACCAGGAAATTCTTCTCCAGGATGATTTACTAGATCTCATAATGTGAACATATGTTCACTAATGTATATAAGGGTGGTGTTATGCCATATGCACAAAAGCATGCTGAATCCTTTCCTATGCTTTCCTGTCCTCTTACATGTCTTCTATATTCTAGGTTATAATAAACCTGCTCCAGAAGAACCTTTTACAAGTAAGTACCAATTTATCCCATCTAGGTCTTGGTTAATACTTTTCTCCACATTTCCAAAGGAAAATTGATGCAAATATAAGCCATTGTCTTCAGAGAGGTCAAGTTCTCAATAGAAGCAAGATGCAGAGTCATTGGTCTCTTCTTGAAACTGCAGCTCTCATATTGCTTCTGAATTATCCATATTCTTCTTGGTTGGAGAAATGTATTTCTAAAAGTGTAACCTAGAGCATTATGGGGCTTATTTTACATGTTTACTGTGTGATTTATGTTTCCTAAAATGAAAAGTCACCATCATGGTCTTTATTATCAAACTGTGTACTCTGATGACTATTTTAGTATTTTAACTAAAATGGACTTCTCTATTTCATTTTTTCTGAGTTTTATTAGTTCCTTGAGAGTTTTATACAATGAATTTGTGTTGCTATTTTATCAGTGGACATGTGTTACCAGGCTAGTCATTACTGTAGCTCAAAGCGTTAACAATTGAGTAAGATTGGTGATTCCTTTCCTCCTCCAGTAACATGCACAGCACCTTCCAGCACTCTGAAAGCTAGCCAGAAGGAATGAAACTTCCAGATTTATTTCTCCATATGCTGTGTCTCAAATGTGTGGTATCTTCAGCATACTGGATCTCACCTGAAGTTCTGGAGGGTTACCAAAGCACTGGCAATAGCTAGTATAGTAGTCTACAGTACATCACTTGCCAACAACTCCAAAATGAATAATCCGTTCCTTCTGCTGAGCTTTTTTTTTTTTGTCATCCTGTGTTGTCTAGTGGGGTATTGTTGCCTATTATATAGCAACTCTATTTAGACTCTTTATATGTGTGTATGCACATTCTTTAGGAAGCTTCTATAGTATTAGAGTTCTGTCTTACTTTTTGGAATGCCCTTAGTATCAATTATCAATCCTTGTATTGTCCTTCTACCTGGTCAGTTGATTAGGTAACTCTTATCAGTTTGTCCCTTTCCACTCCATTATTCACAATCAACCTTAATATCACCATATCATATCAAATAAAACACACAAATCTAAAGATACAAAGCTAACAGCCACAAACCATAAAAAACATATGACTTTGTTTCTCTGGATCCAGGTTATATCACTTAGAATGATTGTTTCCAGTTACAAACAATATCCTGAACATTTCTTAAAAGATAAACATAAAAAAAAATTTTTATTTAAATTTTATGCAATTTATTTTGATCATATTTTCCTTCCCGGATTTGCTCTCAGGTTCTCCCCACTGACCTACTCACTCAAACTCATTTTCATTCTCTCTCTTTCTTCTTTTGTTTCTCTCTCTCCCCCAAAGTACTCAAAAGACAAAAGTGAAATTCCAAACAAAAAACAAAAGTAATATTAAATAATTTCAATACATTAGAATATGAAACAAAAATCTCTTACCAAATTTAAAAAAAAATGCTGTCCATTTTCTGTTTTCCAACTCTTTCTAGGAATGAGTTCATCTCTGAGTGTGCTTGATATACTTTCTGACACTCCACTGTGGATAATTGATTTTCCCTTCCTTAGCAGGTATAAATTGCAAATAGCTTCTTGGCTAGGGATAGAACTTTGTGTCCACTTCCCTTTCTCAATTCTGCATATTTTTCTGCTTTAAACTAATACAGGTCAAAGAATTGTAGATGACTCCAAGGAAATAGTATCTTCCACATACAACAGGATTGATATAATATGGATCCACAAGATGATGGCAATTGTACTATTCTTACTGTGGAAAAATATAGTGATATTTTCCAATTTTTCTATGTATCTATCAGTTGATGGACATCTACACTGTTACAATTTCCTAGATATTGTAAATAGAGGAGCAATAAACATGGACATGCATGTTTCTAGATAGCAGCATTTAGACTCCTTTGAGTGTATACCCAAGAGTAATTAGACTTGACCTCATAGTAGATCTATTTTTGGCATTTTTAGGAACCTCCACTGCACTTATTTCTGAAGTGGTTACACCCCCAATAGAAGTGAATAATTGTTCCAGTTTCCCAAATCCAAGCCAGCATTTGTTGTCATTTATTTTTGTTTGTCTGCTTGTTTTGTTTTGGATCTTAGCTATTTTGATAGGGATAAAATGAAATCTTAAAGAAGTTTTAATTTTCTTTACCCTGATATGTCCGGATGTCAAATATTTTTTAAAAATGTTTCTCCACAGTTTGTATTTCTCTTTGTGTGAATTATCTGACCCATGCCACAAATTTTGAATTGGGTTGTTTTTCTAGTGGTTAATTTTTTAATTTATTTGTATATTCTAGACACAAACCCTCTGTCAGATATGTAGCTAATAGAGAATTTTGCCGTTCTGTAGGAAGCTGCTTTGTTTAAAACAATGCTATCTTTTTCTATAGAGAAGCATTTTAGATTCATGGAAACTGTTTATTAATTATTAGTCTTTAAGACTATGCTATCCAGGTTCTGTCCCCAAAAACCTTTCCTGTGCCAGTAAGTTTAAGTGTATTCTCTATTTTCTCCTAAATTACATCAGGTTACCAGGACTTATGTAAAGGCTGTTTAATCATTTGGAGTTGAGTTTTGGGTATTCAGTAGCCTATTCATCATTTATCTTTCCAGCTGATCATTCTTCCACTTTTCTAGATATTCCTGAAGTCATGTCACATTTCCATAAATCCATCCTTCCATCGATCCATCTATCCATCCATCCATCCATCCATCCATCCATCCATCCATCCATCCATTATCCCGCCCATTCTTTTGTATTTCCTTTGTTTCTTTTCCTCTTCCATCCTTTATTCATGATTGCATTCATTCACTCTTCCACTTTCATTGATAAACCCATACTACAGTCCATTTTCCAGTTCATATTTTATTTCTTCTTTTTTCCTTTATCCATTCATACATACATCCACCTGATCTTTCATCAATCACATACATGCCTATATACCCATATATTATAGGCTGGTATGAACACCCACTCTTCTGTCAGCTCCTACCTATGTATCTTTCAGTTCACTCATCTGTTTCTACACTGATTTCTTCTGTTTGCTTGGCTACTTAGCATTCATATTCTATCGTTCTTTCTTCTGTGAATTCACATACCAATCCATTCATGCATCTATGAATGTAGTACCTATCTACTAATCTATCCACCTACCCATCTATTTAATGTTCATCAACACATCTATATAACTACACTATAATCTGCCCATTGAGTCAAACACACACACACACACACACACACACACACACACACACACACACACACACACATACACACACACACACACTTGTTTACCCATCAAGTTCATTCACTTAGTTGTCCATTCTTCTATCCTTCCAAATTGTCTTTGATTTTATTTTTCTTGAATTCTTTTTATACTATCCTTTTTTATCCCTCCTTATATCCATCATTGTTCTATGTATTTTCTATCTTCCTAATCCATCTGTGCTCTTTTCACATCCTTTATGCTGATCAGTAAGCTCACTATCTTGATTTAATTCCATTGATAGTCTTGTTCACTTTTTCACTCACACAATCACTCTTCAGTATAGTTCATGGTTCAACTATGAATGGTGGTTGTGCATCTAGAAAAGCTATGGACAGTCTTTGTTGTATGTAGAAAGTGGAGGGTTTCTGAGGAAAAAAATTCCTACAAAACTGAATCAGGATGAGCAAAAGCGATCCAGAAAAATGAAACATGAAAAGTTCTTGGAAATGAGGATTTCATCAATGACTATTCTCTCTACAGCTCCTGAGCCAGCCACCACTACCCTACCTTCTTCATCTACATCTCTGCAGCCAGAACCTGCCACAGGTATCTCGTGATACCATTGCCTATCTTTGATTAGATCTCCTGTCCAATACTTCCATCATATGTCTTCCAGATACTTGCCCACATTTATCCATAAGGCCTGTGACACAAAGAGATTACTACCATAATATCCATGTTTGTGTGTTTGTATATGTGCATCAGTGTGGGGGTAAAAGGCATATATAATGTAGAAAGGAGAAGGCTTTGAGTAAAATTCCTTCTGAACTGAATCATCCAGATAAAGTAAGAATGAAATGTTCCAGGAAATAGGATTTCAATATGAGGGCTCAGTGACCAGGAACAATGTAATAGATGTGTAGAATTGAGAGGATTTTGATTTCCATGAATCATATTGCTCACCTCCCAGTGCAGCCTCTCTGTGTCCTGCTTAGCACCTACTGAGTCACAGTGCTCGGGTTAGGATAGATGAGTAAATGAGAACGGAAGTCAGTGGAAGATGACTTGAAATGTAGCTGAAGTTTTCCTGGTCCCTCCTGGCCCACAGTCAGGACAAATCTCTCTTACCTGCCAGTCCCGCAGCTAGCTCAGACCCATGTAACCACACAGAAGCTTATATTAATTATGAACTGTATGGCCATTAACTCAGGCTTATTATTGACTACTCTTACACTTAAATTAACCCATGATTCTTATCTGTGGTTAGCCATGTGTCTTGGTACCTTTTCTTTTTCAGCTCTGCCTTCACATCTTGCTTTCTCTGTGTCTGACTGGTGACTCCTGACTCAGCCTTCCTCTTCCCAGAATTCTCCTTGTCTGCTTATCCCACCTATACTTCCTGCCTTGCTACTGACCAATCAGCATTTTATTAAACCAGTGTACAAAAGCATTATCCCACAGCATTGAAAGCTGCTGTGGGATGCCTTCTGTTGCTGTGATAAATGTGATAGTCTAAAGGAACATGGGGAAGTATGAGTTTATTTTAACTTACAGTTCCATGTCACAGTCTATACTTAAAGGAAGCCAAGTAAGACCTCAAGGCATAAAGCTAGAGAGGACCTAAAGAAGACCATGGGGGAACACTGCATACTGGCTTATTTTCAGGCTCATACCTCTTAGCTTTCTTGTACATCCCAAGCCCACCTGACTGGTGGTGGTGCTGCTCATAGCTGAATGGGTCTCCTACATCAAATAGCAATCAAGGTAATACAAGATAGGTATGCCCAAAGGTCTGTCTGATGGATGCAATTCTGTAATCCTTCTTCCCAAGTGTGACTACTTGCCAAACAATATTAGCCACCACAAGTGTCAATTTTTCAAGCTTGTACTTGACCCTGAAAGTACACATGGAACCATGGGTAGTAGTGGACTATGAACCGTCCTAGTGAGAATTTTAATTTCAGAAAGGCACTCCTAGTGCTCACAATAGAGAACATCTTTAGACAGAGCATCCATTGAGTCTGAAGGAAAAAATTCTGGTTGTGAGTAGATAAGACTTAAGCTAGAACAAATACAGAATTAATGTAAGGAATGTTCAGAAAAGGTGATTTGTATGATGTAAAGCTAAGAAGTTGTGTAGTTTCTGACCTGAATGGTTATTTTGTTATATGTTGAGGGTGGAAGTGAAGATAAGCTGATGAGAACAGGATTCTACTCTGGTATCAGCTAATTCTCAGTGGTATCTCTTCTCTTCATGCAGCTATGGGGCACCATCTGGAGATCCTAACAATCAACTTCACCATAACCAATCTTCCATATTCATCAAATATGAGCAATGGCTCAGCTGTGTTCAGCTCAACTGAGAGTGTCCTGCAGTACCTGGTGAGAACCTTATCCAAGCAGTCTGGGGGAGATAAATCCCATATGACCCCCTTTTCAATGCCTGTTTTCATTTCCCTCCTCCTTCACCATCCACAGCTTGGACACTTGTTCCAAAATGATTCCTTCAACTCAACCTGCAGTTTGGATTCCCTCAGGTGAGGCTACTTTCTGACCATTGGCCAGGAATGACCACTGCTTATTGTTACCGTTCTCATTCCTAGTTCTTCCCTCTGGTTCTGATCTTCATTATGACTTTTCTGAAATCTCCACACTCCTCTCCCTCTCTAGGCCTAAGAAGAATGGAACAGCCACTGGTGTGGATGCCATCTGCACCTACCACCATGACCCTTCACATCCTGGGATGGATATCCAAGGACTGTACTCAGAACTGAGAAATCTAACCCAAGGAATCACCCAGCTGGGCAACTATTCACTGGACAAGAACAATCTATTTGTCAATGGTGAGCATGCTCTCTGATTTGCTATGCGATATTCTCAAGTATTTTTATGTTCACACGCTTCTGAGTATATGAAAATTTCTCTGAGCTTCTTAGGAGATATTATAAATAATTCTTTATATCTGAGCACTCAACAGTCATTCTCAATATCTTGAGTCTGCAATTTTTTCTCCACACTCTGCTTGTTTGATCAAGCCTGAAACGTCAGTCCCTATTGTTGCACAAATCCTAAATGGTCTTATAATAAAATTCAGAACCAGGTATTGGGATAAATGCTGAAAGATCAGAGAGACAAAGGAACAAGTCACAGCCACTTCTCACCTAGCCAACTCCATGAATCCTCTGACTGAATGCCTCTGAGTCCTCAGTCAAAAAGGCCTAATTTCTATCTCCTCCTGCCTTATATTCCTTTCTCTGCCCAGCCATATCACTTCCTGTCTCAACCTTTCTAGTACTGGGATTAAAGGTGTGTGCCACCACTGCCTGGCTGTTTCTCTTTTAGACTGGATTAATCTTATATAGCCCAGTGTTGCCTTGAACTCACAGAAATCCAGACAGATCTCTGCCTCTGCCTCCCAAGTGCTAGGTTTAAAGGTGTGTTCCACTACTACTTGACCTCTATTGCTAATTCTGTGGCAAACTCTGTCCTCTGATCTTCAAGGCAAGCTTTATTTCTTAGATTACAAATATATCACCACAGCTGATGGTTATGAATATAATATTTACAAAGCATTTTGTTGCCATGTCTATTTGGAACAAGAAAGTAATTTTTCCATGTAGGGCTAATTACCTTCTCAGTCAAAGGTTTTTAGAAGGTTTATAGTACCAGGAATAAATTACTTCCATTGAACCAATTCCAGTATCCATTCTGAAATCAGTTGGTTACCCATAATAGTCATGCCACAATTGCACTATTGAGCACATCTTTGCTGCCCATTTGTTATTGTAGCACACAAGGTCCGCAGCTAGGTAAAAACGTTAATTAGTTTTCTCTCAGCAGCCTGCATTCACCTTCTGCTACAAGGTACACCTCAGCAATAAATGAGCTTGCAGTTCAGTTCAAGATTAATTGCTTCCTGCATTCAAAAGTGTTGGTGTCTTGTCTTCCTATCTATTACCCTCATTTTAATAATAAGGAGTGAAGGGAAAGGGGAATTCATACTCCTACAACAGGTTTATTGCTAATCAGAGTTTTGATGATCTGAGTTCTCATCTGGTCACTATAATTCAGAAGTTGCACGACACATATAGGGTTTTAGCTTTCATAAAGTAGGTGATTCATATGCTTCAATATGTTGTCTACTCAATAGTACAAAGAATCTTAGCCAAACATTAAGCTTAGCACCAGAGACAAATAAGTTACATATGAAGTTTGCCCCAATGTAAACTACAGTGAGGCACGGATATTTTTCAACACTATATTCTTCAAATGGGAGTGGGGAATATAGAAAGTACTCAATAAACATCAACTGGATGAATAGATAGAGGGAGAGTACAAGGGAAGATGATAGTGTAAGTGGGTACATATAAATGAGGATTAAGGTATGACAGTAGTTCTTATGAGACGCTCTTGTTAGGAACATTCTCTAGAAGTGGTAAAGAAGTATTGGATCTGGCAGAAATGGCAATAAATTCTTGTTTGTGTTGATATTTATGTTAGCTCTTAGAACAGAAGTAGTTTCTGAATAATTATGTACAAAGACATGCATCCATATTTGCCCCGTGTGTACCAAGACACGGTGTGTGGGACCTTTTTGCTACTTTTCCTTATGTGTGCATTTTGTGTTATAGGTTATAATGAACATGGTGCAGAAGGACTTCCTGCAAGTATGTATCAATTTGGTCTACCTAGGTCTTGGTCCACACATTTCTCTTCATTTATAAAGGAAACTTGCCATAAGTACAAGGCAATCTCTGGAAAGGGACTAAGGCCTTAGTGGAAAAAGGTTGCTGTCTCTGGCCTCTTCTTGGAATTTCAGTTCAAGTGTTTCAAGATTTTTCTTCACTCCTCTTGGTTAGAGAAAGATGTTTATACAAGTGTTGCCTGCAGAATTACAGGGCTGAGTTCAGATGAAGACTAGAGTTTACATCTTTTAAAACAAATAAAATGTTCCCTAGTAGGAGCTTCATTATTAAGTTGAAAATTCTGATGGCTACTTAAGTGATTCTGTAAAATTTTTTATATTCTCTTGTTCAGTGATCCATTTCTCTGTCTTTGTAGCTATCCTTTTTTTATTTTTCTACTCATTCATCCTCAGGTACCACATTTCCATCTATCTATCCATCCATCTACATACCTACTCATATATCTATTGTCATAGCTACTTATCTATCTTCCCATCCACTTCCTTGACCATTCTCATGTATTACCTTTATTCCTTCTGTTTTTCCTTCTACAGTTGATTTGTTAATCCATTTCCCCTCCTGCATCCATCCATCCATCAATATTTCCACCCATTGCCCTGCTTATCCTTCATTAATTGATTCTTTGCTTTCTCTATCTACCAACACATACATATATTTACAGAGCCATCTAGCCAGCTAGACAACCACATACCTACCTAAACATCCATCCATATATCTACCTACTTCTGCATCTATCAATTTGTCCATCCATCTACAGACCACCTCCTTCTGTCCATTTGCCTGCTTGAAATTACTTCTTTCTGTCTTTTCTCCATTGGTATATGTATCTACCTATCCATCCATTCACCTATTCTCTTATCCATTCATCTATGTACCTACTCATATATCTACCCACTGACTCATGTGTCTAACCATTTATCTATGTTTGTCAATCTATGTACTCATCTACCAATATTCTCTATCCAGTTATCTTCTTGGCATTTGTTCCCTCCAGCCTGTTCTTACTCTCTATATCCATCCATCCATACATCCAAATATCCACACACACCATATATCCCATATATTCATCTTACCACCCACATGTCCATCTATCATCTATACCATGTACATATATTTATCTACTCTTTCTTAAATGTTATCTTCCTTCCATCATTCTACCTTCTCTTTATTTTTACACTTTGATTTTGTTTTGACTATCAATTTATCTATCATCCTTCTACTCATGCATTCATATCCTCTACATTTTTTGTCTTCCAGTTCATCTGGCCTATTTGCTTACCCTCTCCTGCTATCCACTTTCACTATCTTGAATTAATTACATTCACAGACTTGTCCCCCTTCATTTAGGCAATCTCTCTTTCCTTTACTCTTGTTTATGATCCACCTGGGAATGATTTTCATGGCTTGGACCACTGATGGAAGGTTCTCTCATTATGTGAAGCCACTGTATATTCTGATGACAATCTTTTCCCTAGCTCCCGGGTCACCTACCACCATCCTGGCTTCTCCGTCAAAATCTGTGCATCCAGAACCCACAACAGGTATGTTGCAGTTCTTTTTCCTATCCTAGATGAGTTTCCCATTCCACACCTCCCTACCTAACTTCCCTATGACAACTAGAAAACTGGGATGTGAATGTCCTAGTGTCAAGGCCATCAGTATAATAATAAAGATAAGTCTAGCAATTCAATCAGATGCCTCCCTTCATGCAACCACCAGACTCTGAATTAATACAGTGAGGAATTTTTGTGGGAGAGGAGTCACATACCATAATATAAAGAGGGAATGACTTTCTGGAGAATGTTGCACCTGAACTGAATCTCTCAAGATGAGTAGAAGTGACCCAAATAAATAAGTTGTGGAGTTTTACTGGGAGTATTCCCTCAGTGAGGGTTCCATGGCTCACAGCAACATAATGTGATGGGATAATAGAGAAGTTGGTTTATCTGAACCAAAAAAGCTCCCAGTATAGCTCCCAGTATAGCTTCTGGATGTCTAGTTCTGGACTCACAGGGCCATACTGGTAGTTGAGGAATGAATAAGTAACTAAATGATAAAAGATAACAGATCAAAGGACCTTGAATGCCTAATCAAGAAGATTCACCTTGGGATTTGAGAGATTTCTCAATGGTTAAAGTGCTTGTCAAACAAACATGTGGACTACAGTTAAAATCCCGACATGGTAGCCTATCAGTAATCCCAGCACTTGGAAAGATAAGAAAGAGGACCCTCATCAAAACTGACCAACTAGTCTAGTCAATAACATAACCTGAGTTTTAATAAGAGACCCTTCCTCAATATATAATGTTGGTAGGGATTAAGGAAGATACTTGGTATCAATCCCTGGCCCCCACATTTGCACGTGTGGGTATACACACACACACACACACACACACACACACACACACACACACACACACGCATGCACGCGCATGAAACAAAACCAAAGTAAAAAATAAACTTGAATTTGATATTGAAAATTCAAAAGAGTAATGAGTAATCCTAGAGTTGGGGCAGTCTTAGTGAGATTTTCATTGTATAAAGGTTCTTCTGCTGGGGTGCATAGATAACATCCTTTAGACAAGTCATCCAATGGGTATTCTAGGATTTTACCATGGATAGAAGAGGATAAGACCTAGCTGTGATGCTGAAGCAGAGAGAATGCATGTGAAGAACATTCAGAAAAGATAGTTGGTGTGACATGGAGATGAAGAGCTATTCAGGTTCTTTCATAGATGGGTACATTGTTGGTAGCCATACAATGAGAAAGATGACCTGATAAGTGCAGGAGTTCAGACTTATCCCACATAAACTGTAACTTGTGGTTATTTCTCTTCTTCTCTTCCTGTAGCCATGGGGCATTTGAAGACTTTCACACTCAATTTCACTATCTCCAACCTCCCATACTCAGCAGGCATGAGCTCAGCCATGTTTAATTCCACTGAGAAGATCCTGCAGCACCTGGTGAGATGCTCATTCTGATATCTTCCAGTTTGATAAGGCCTATTCTCTCCTCCATTACCTCTTCCCTTGCTTTTCCTTTTCAGCTTGAACCGTTGGTCCAGAATGAATCCCTCTATTCAGATTGCAGACTGGTTTCCCTCAGGTAATTCTCCTTTTTTTTCCATTCCACAGGAATGGCCATCCCTTATTGTGTCTCTTTTGCTTGGTCCTCCTTCTTTGGGACTTATATCCATATTAGGATCTTTCTAATGTCTCTATATTCCTTTCTCTTCAGGCCTAAGAAGAATGGAACAGCCACTGGTGTGAATGCTATCTGCTCCTACCACCATAACCCAGCGTATCCTGAGCTTGACACTCAGGAGCTATATACAAAGCTGAGTCAGCTAACCCATGGCATCACCCAGCTGGGTAGCTACATGCTGGACCAGAATAGTCTCTATGTCAATGGTGAGTGTGATCTGTGGTTTGCTGTGGAGTGTTTCCAGGCATCCTTTAATTTTTTTCTATACCTGCCAAAGTTACTTGTGGTGTCTGTCTGATCTTAGTGTTTCTAGGTTTCAATATTTCTTCAAAGAATTGAAAAAGCACACACAAATATTTAAGTAGCAAGAGCTTTAATTCAAAAGCAAAGCAAAATATACAGACCAGATAAACTACAAGGAAGCAGTAAGCTGAAGCTCGATTTGCTCAAGAGCCTTTGGTTACCTTCTCAAGGCTCCTTTCTGTGGGTCCTAGAGGAGGTTGAATTGTTTACTGGGGTTGGGTTACAGCTGGCTTTCTGTTTTGATTGTTATGTGTAGGTCATATAGACCTTTGTTCACTGCAGCTGTACTTTCTAGTGATACATTTTATTTTAATCATATTCATGTCTACTCATACACTCATATGATGCTAAATAGAGAATTTTCCCTAAAACTGCACTCATGCATCTAAAACTAGTTCAGGCTGCATTGGTACACCACCTCTCGTTCATGGATATGTTTGCCCACAAAGGGACTAACAGGTGGTGGGTAGTAGGCTAGTAAGAAGTTGTGATGGTAGAGTGACCTATTGCTCTGACTAGAAAGGAATATGTTAATAGCTTGACACAGATAGGGTCCCAGGTTGCTAAGCTATTTTCACAAATACCTCACCAATATCTCTCCTCCCTATCTTCCAGGTTACACTCACCAGATTACAAGAACTACCCCTAGTGGTAAGTGACCCACTACCAAACCTCCCTCCATTATACTCAGGGGGAAAACAATAGTCCCTGCCCATACCTTCAACCATCCTAGAGAGAAGGAGCTAGAAACAAGCTAGAGTATCACTGCAATAAAGCAAGTTGTGAATCAGTTCCATTTTCTTGGCAGGAATCAAAAATGATCATTAAATATTAATTGTGTAGCCAGGGATTATGGTATGTACTTTTAGTCCTCCCTACTTGGAAAGATGAGACAGGAAGATTCTTTAAACCATGGGTTTATAGCCATCTTGAGGAGCATCAAGATGATTTTTTCCCAAGCATTTAGAGCTGCTGTACGGCATAGGGATATTGTATGTTCATCATAAATGGCTTGTACATTCCTGTCAGCGAAACATCCCTCACCAAGTATTTGATCTTGGGAGATCACAAAACCTCTGAGTTTACCTTGTTGTTCTAAATTTTTTGTCTCTTCTCTTAACCAGCTTTTCCATTGTAGCTGTTGACTATATTCTAGAACAGCTAAAATTAACTGATGCCAGTCATCTGGGATGATTCTATGTGAGGTAGACCACGAATTTAACAATTGTTTTACGTATGTGGAGTGTATCCCATACGTAACTACTGTTTCCTTTATATTTTTAATGTCCCTTGTTGAAATTGGTTGTAATGTATATGTATTATATGGCTCGGGGTGTGTGTCATCCGCTGGCTTCTCATGGATGATAACAGGATAAGCCATTGTGTGAGAGCCATTTGGAGATGTTACAACCTCTATGGTCTTGCCCTTTTGCTTATTAGGTCCCTTGTCATGTTTATTGAGAGTTTCTTCTAAGGCCTGCAAACGAGCACCTAGGGTCTGTTCTATGGAGTGAACCTCCTCTCTGGCAAGGGACTCCAGATTTCTCATGGAATCATAGAAGTTTTTATGTTCCTCAGAAGCATATAATTCCATGGACCTTATCTTATCAATTAATGATAATCTTTCTTCCTTATATAGTGTCTGGAGAGTTAGTGTTCTGTCCATTAAATATTTACATTTATTATCAATAAGATCAATTTTTGGTACAAGCCTGTTTTGTAAATCCTGATCAGCAGATTCCAGAGAAAGAATCTTTTTCTCTAAGGTCTCATTGCTATCCTTTAAAGCATATTCCAGAGATAGAATCTTTTTCTGTAAGCCTTCATTGTTATTTTTGAAAGCCTGTAAATCCTGGTTAGCAGATTCCAGAGAGAGAATCTTTTTCTGTAAGGTCTCATTGTTATCCATTAAAGCAGATTCCAGAGATAGAATCTTTTTTTGTAAGCCTTCATTGCTCTCGCTTAAAGCCTGTATCAGTCCCAATAATGACTCATCTTTGTTTTTGTTATTAAACCAGTGTTTGAACACTGTGTGGATTATTACAATGAATGTCAAAATGGTATAGGCCAGATATGCCTTAGGAAGGTTGTATATTTCCAGGAAGATGTCATTCATAATACAGGCAAAAAGGTTTTCAAATTCTTTTGAGGTAATGTTGTCAGCCATATTACAAGAATTACTCAAAATTTGTTAGTCAATTTTAAGGTGTAAAATTATCAGGTACTTTTACTTACCTTTCGTGGTTTTGGGGGGTGTAGTAGCACTTTTCAGCCAGCAGGTGGCGTTGGTACAGCTCAAAAGCAGGGCCTGCTGGTGATCTTGGCTGACTGCAGCTCGCTGGAGTCAAGATGGTGGGAGCCAGAGCTGGAGCCAGCACTCAGAAAGCCAGGGAGTGCCTCTTTCGCTGGTCTCGGGGCTAAGCTAGGGAGCTGAGACCGGACTAGCTGCTCCCTCTTTAGAGAATGGAACCGTGTAGGCGTTCCCTGGTTATATGGAACTTTGCAGGCGGGTTTAGGTACCTGCTAGCCGGGGAGGAGGCTGAGGGTGGGAGCCACCCAGGCCTTTGGAATTTGCCCCACGTAAGCGCCAAGTGGGTGGATAGAAGGTAAGTATACAATTCAAATGCCTTATGTAAGAATGTCAGGCCTCCATCTCATGGACTAGGAAAGCCATCGTCAACAGTGATTGGTTGTCCTGAGCCTGCACTTACATGACCTCATTCTATTTCCTTCTCTATGAAACCAAGTTAGCCCTTATGTTGATTGTAGAGTAATACCCTTCCCTAAACTGTCACAAGGAAGACAGATAAATAACAAGAAATTTGTTGACCAAACTAATATCATACATTTAAAAGCCTCCTGCTTTGTTGAGATTTAAGTGATAGATAAAACTGTATGTAGCTGGGCTGGAGAAATGGCTCAGAGGTTAAGAGCACTGACTGCTCTTCCAGAGGTCCTGAGTTCAAGTTCCAGCAACCACATGGTGGCTCACAACCATCTGTAGTGAGATCTGGTGCCCTCTTCTAGCCTGCAGGCTGAACACTGCATACATAATAAATAAATAAATAATATTTTTAAAAAATGTATGTAGCTAAAATAATCACAGTGATAGTTTGGTATAAGCATAGCTTATGAAATGATTTACTATAATCAAAGTAGTTAACACACATATCCCTGTAAATAGCTAGTGAAAGGGAGAGACAGAGAGACAGAAATAACAGGAAGAACATTTAAAATCCTTTCTCAGAACTGGGCCCAGTGACTAACACTTATAATCCCAGTACACAGAAGGCTGAAGCAGGGGGATTGTCATTAGTGCAAGACCAGCGTGGGTCACATAGTAAGTTCCCAGCCCATCGGGGCAGTGTGAAACTTTATTTCAATAATACAAAACCAAACCAAACATCCTCTATCAAAACTTTAAGCATGATGGGAAAAGGGAAAGAGAAAACTGGGAGAGGGAAGGAGATAAAGTACTGGGCTTTGCTGCCTCCCCATGGGAGGCTTTACCTTTTTGGAGGAGGGGATGGGTGAGTTGTAGAGGGAAGGCTGTAGGGGAGCACAAGGAGGGATGAGAGGGAGATCTGTGGTTGGTATATAAAATAAATTAAAAAAAATTCTTCATAAAAAAGTTTCCATTAAAAAAAGAAACTAAGAATGATCATACATATTTATGCATGTGTAGAAATGCCTGACTGAAACCACTTTCTTTGTATAATTTACATCTGAAAATATCAATTATACATACATATTAACTAGTCACCATATTTTACAATAATCTTCAGAACTTTACCTTCTTAAAAACCTTTGTCTATTTAAAGTTTCTTTTCTTTTTTTAAACAGTACTTTTAAGTGACCCTCAAATACATAATATGTTGCTAACATGTTCCAAGGCGAACATGTTGCCATTCATTTTTGCACTGGGTAATGTTTAAACCATGTTAGACATATCTAACTCTCTGTTTATCATTTCTTTATAGTAAAAGAAAAAAATCTTTAAAATCCTTTCCCCTTTCTGAAGTTTGCAGTTCATTGCCATCATCTGTAGTCATGCTCTGTGTAACAACACCAGAGTTTTTACATCAATATAGCTGGAACTGGAGGCTAGTCGATCAACCTTTCTCCATCCTCTTCCTGTGCCTGAGCCTCCAGTCATCACCATTCAATTCTCAACTCCCATTAAATCACCTCTAGATTGCAAATATTTGTCAGAAGTGTACTTAAGTTGGTACAAATGAGAATTCATTCTCGATCTGTGCCATTATCCATTCATCAGTTGATGTACACTTCAGCTGAGAAACCATGCCTTTTGATTAACAGATCCTCATCTTACATACACATACAACACACACACACACACACACACACACACACACACACACACACACACACAGATAGCACTATTATACTCATTATTTCTGTAAGTTTGATCTTTTTCCTACTCAAAATTGTTTTGGAAATTGTATATAATAATTTTACAAAATATTCCACTTATAAGTGAGATCATATTGTGTATTTTTCTATAATTTATTTCATATGATATAATAGCCTCTAGGCTGATTTGTGATAAACATTAATTCAAGATCCAAGTGTCTGACCCATGTGTTCCTTGGGAAAAGGGTTGTAGATTCTTCCATATGGGATTCCTGTATGTTAACGAGTCTCACATGAGCAGCAGTGTGTTGTAGGAGCTCAGAGGAATGGTGAGACTAGGAGGGATTCCTGAAATGGAGTCTGACATGACAGAAGTATGACAAGACAGAGAACAAGATAGGTGCATATACTTTCTCCATATCCATTATGTTGAACTCCTGAAGCATAAATGGGAATTTTCTGGGTGAAGAAAGTGGAAGAACATTCCAGAAAATAGAATCCAAGTAAGCAAAAAAAAAAAAAAAAAAAAAAAATCTGAGTAATATGAACATCTATAAAAGTTCCATTTCCCCGTGCTTTGGAATAACTTCCCATTTGTGAGTCCTCTATATCCCTAGCATGCACGCCTTCTTTAGGTTCATTCTCATAGCAGAGGTTTACTATGTAACTCTGGTCCTGTGCAAAGAGCTAAAGGTCTTTACTGTAATCAGATTGGTGACTGATTGTTATCAGATACTCTATCTAGTAACTGATGGAAGCAGATGCAGAGATCCACAGCCAAGCATTGGGTTGAGCTCTGAGAGTCTTGCTGAAGGAAAGGAGAAGGGATTGTATGAGTTGGGAGGGTCATGACAGGGGAACCCACAGAGCTAGCTGACCTGAGCTCAAGGGAGCTCATGGACTCTGGACCAACAGTTAGAGAACCTCCATGGGACCGACCTAGGCCCTCTGCGTGTGACAGTTGTTTAGCTTGATCTCTTTCTACGACTCCTAGCTATGAGATCAGGACCTTTCCCAGGCACTTAGCTGGTTGGGGGGAACCTGTTCCCCATGCTGGATTATCTTGCCCAGCCTTGACACAAGAGGAGGAGTTTTTGGTCCTCCCTCAACTTGATGTGTAAAGTTTTGCTCAAGCCCATGGGAGGCCTGCTCCTTTTTAATTGAGGAGGAGGAGGAGTGGATGCGGAGGAGGGTAGATGGAAGTGGGAGAGGGAAGGACTTAGAGGAGATGAGGGAGGGGAAACTGTGGTTGATATGTAAAACAAATGAAAAAAATGTTATTTAAATTTTAAAAAATGGTCTTTTCTTCCTCTGTTACTGTAGGCTATGTGCTTCAGAATGTAACCATAAAGGGCAAGTACCAGATAAACTTTCGAATCATCAACTGGAACCTTAGCAACACAGATCCAACATCTTCAGAGTATGTCACTCTAGAGAGGGACATTGAAGATAAGGTGAGGTCACTTTCAAATCGCCCGTCTCTTCCTTCCCTGAGTACTCCTATCATTACTCCATCGGACTTATATCTACCAAGTAATTGTTTCAACTTTGCCGATGTGTTTCCACTTCTCTAGTGCTTGCAAAGGTGCCAGTGTAGCTTGGTTGTCTGTTTCCCAGGCACAGAAACTGAAGCTCATAGAGGAGCACTGTGAGGGCTGAAGAGATGGCTCAGAGCATAAAACCCTTGCTGGCCAAACCTAATGAACTGAATTTGATTCCTAGGTCAAACACCCCAAGTCACTCCACATCTAAGGGTGGAAGGAAAGAATTCCATAACGTTGTCCTATGACCTCCAGATATGTGCCATGGCATGAGTGAACTCCACATCATACACACAAAATAATAATAAATAAAAAATTTAGCTTTCTGTTGCTATTAAAAATACCTGAAATAAACAGCTTTCCAAAGAAAGGTTTCTTTTGGACTGATTGTGTCAGAGGTACCAGTCTGTGCTCAGCCATCTCTGTTACTTTGGGTCTAAAGTGAGGCAGATCATAACCATTTCAGGAATGTGTGGATGATAAAACTACTCCCACATGACAGCCAGAAAGTAAAGAAAAGAGAGGAAGAATCAGAGACAAGATCTCATCTTTGAACAGCACACTCCCAATTTCCTCCAATTAGACCCCTTCCCTTACAGTTTCCACTACTTCCCAAGACTTCACTTAATTATGAACTCCTAGATGGATCAGTCCATCAAGAGGTCAAAGCTTGGCTGGGCTGTGGGGATGCATGCCTTTAATCCCAGCACTTGGGAGGCAAAGGCAGGTGGACTCTGAGTTCGAGGCCAGTCTGCTCTACAAAGCTAGTTCCAGCACAGCCAGAACTGCACAGAGAAACCCTATCTTGTGGGGGAAAAAAAGTCAAAGCTTTTATCATCTAATCATTTCTTGTAAGCTCTATATAGGTACAGTAGAGAATGGGCCTTAAACACATGACCCTCCCCCAAGGGACGTTTCAGACCTAAACCGTACCAGTTATGGGGTGCCTGGAGGTATACAGTAAGTCAGAGCAGAGCTAGTATTTGAATTAAGGTCTCCTTTGTCCTGAAACCCATGTTCTTTGCTTTGTTTCTAGTGATCTCTCCACCCCCATGGGAATTCTCTCTAACCAACCTTCCTACTCCTACTTCTAGGTCACCACACTCTACACAGGCAGCCAGCTACAAGAAATATTCCAGTCTTGTCTGGTCACCAACTTGACGTAAGTTCTGAAGGTTGGAAACTGATCAGCTTCCATAGATTTAGCAATAATGGGATGGATATGGGAGAACAGTTTTTTGACATAGAATTTAAAGTATAAACATGATAATTTTATATCCCAGACTAGCCTCTCTATTGAACAGTTTCACACATGATCATTTTATTTAATCCTCTCATAGGTCTCTATGAGGTAGTTACAGTGGTCATATATGAGAATCTGAGCCTCGGATAAATGATTTTTCTAAAGACGATCAACATGAGATTTAAAAGCTGGTCTTAGGGGGACGACAAAGATGACTGTGCTTGAAAGCGTTGGACCACCAAACATAGGGCTTGCAATACTTGCAAAGTTCAGTACCTTTGGTGTTCATTTATGTGTATATATGTGAGTGCTACATTCATGTGAGGGGGGGTGAACAAGCAAAGGATATCAGATGTCCTGCTATGTCACTCTCCACCTTATTCCTTTGAGACAGGGCATCTCCCTGAACCTGGAGTTAGGCTTGCAGTGAGCAAGACCAGCTATTCTCCTGTCTGGCCCTGATAATGCTAGGGTTATAGGACTGTTCACAGGCAGCCATGCCCAGGTTTTTTTAGAAAGGTGCTGTTGTCTGAACTCAGGTTTTTATACTTATATTGTAAGTGTTGTCCACCTCTGAAATTTAACATGGGGATAATTATAGTAACATCTTCCACCAGAGTGATAGAAGCCACATTTTAAGGATAGTAATACATATCAAGTATTTAATATATGTTGTTGCTACTGTAATAGTTTCAGCTTATTTCCTAGAAAACCAGAAACTAGGGATCCTGAGGAATCTGGATAACCCCAATTCGTACTTGTAGATCTATGAGAATTTAAAAGTAGCAGCTTGAAACACTGTTAGTATTCATTCCTGTCTGAATTCTTATGGTCTCTCTTCCTAGGTCGGGCTCCGTGATGGTCACTATCAAGGCATTGTTCTCCTCTTATCTTGACCCCAACCTTGTGAAGCAAGTCTTTTTAAATAAGACATTGAATGCCTCCTCCCACTGGCTGGGTGCCACCTACCAGCTGACAGATCTGCATGTGATAGGTACATATGGTGGTGCTGGTTTCATAAGTGGAAGCAATAAGGTCAATTAAGTGAAAGAAAAAGGTTTCTGAGTAGTAGTAAAATAGAGGTATAAAAGAGGATTTCTGGAGGCCCGCGTTAATGCTTCCTGCCTATGATTCATCCAAAAGAAGCAAAAAGAGGAATATGAAGCAAATACACCTAGGGATTTATTTTATTTTGTAAACTTTATGAGTGTGGTGTACATGGTGTGGATGGAGAAGTTGATACCAGGTGTCTTTCTGTATTTCACTCCACTTTATTATTTGAGACTCTACCTGGATCTCACCATCCAAACATACTAGATCGCCAGTAAGACCCAACAATCCTGCAGTCTCCTTCTCCCCAGTGCTGGGGTTACAGGTGCATGCTACACCCAGGTTTTTTTCTTTTTCTTTCATTTTCTCTTTATTAAGAAATTTTTTATTCATTTTACATACCAACCACAGATCCCCCTCTCTTCCCTCCTCTCACCCCCCCCCCCCGCCTCCCCCTTATCCCCCATTCCCTCCTCCGAAAAGGTAAGACTTCCCATGGGGAGTTAGCAAAGCCTACACCCAGCTTTTTAAATATAATATTTGTATTAATGTTTTGAGAACTTCATTCATGCATACAATGCATTTTGATCCCCTCAACTCCTTACATATCCACCCTCATCTTCCACCACCCCCCAACTTAATATTCTCTTGTTTCTCATAACCCACCAAGTCCAGTTTGTGATGCCCATATATTCATGGATCCACTGTGGAGTCACACACTGGATGTGGTGGACCTACTAGGGCCACACTCTTACAAAAAAAAAAATAGACTCTTTATCCATCAGAAGCCTTCAACTGCTAGGCTCCTCAGCTAGGGATGGAGGCTTGTGAAGTCCTCTCTTCATGCTAGAATATTTACTGGATTGATCTTGTACATACCTTGTGATGACAATCACAGCTGCTGTCAGGTCATAAATATGGCTGTACTATTATGTCTACAAAATGCTGATTTGCTCCAGTCCTTGCTGACCACTGGCATTTTTATAATCTTTCCACATCCTATTCCATAATGGTCCCTAAACCTTATGGGGCAGTGTATGTGATATAGATGTCCCATTTGTGGCTGAGCACTTCAGAGAAATTTATTCTCTACTTTGATCATTTATGAAATTCTTTAGTAACAATTCTTTATTAACAATTGTCATTATCTACTATGCAAAGGAACTTCTCTGGTGAGGTGTGAAAGTAGCATTAATCTATAGGTAGAGAGATATGAATTCATAAGGTAGTTTATACTATGTAAATTTAGCAGATTAATAGTAGTAGGTCATTTCTCCCAGTTTTTTATGTGGGTGCTAGGGATTCAAACTCAGGTCTTCATGCTGGTGCAGTGAGCACACACTGACTGAGCCATCTCCTTAGCATCCTACATGTAAACTAAGATGAGCTGACTCCTTGGGTGCCCAAAATGAATAATCAATAGCTGATTGGTTGTTGACAAATAGTTAATATGGAAGTTTTACCTCTCTCTCTCTCTCTCTCTCTCTCTCTCTCTCTCTCTCTCTCTCTCTCTCTCTCTCTCTCTCTCTCTCAGACATGAAGCCACCCATTCTTCTGCCAACAGAAGTCCCAACAATCAGTTCCAGTTCTCAGCATTTCAATCTGAACTTCACCATCACCAATCTACCCTATTCCCAAGACATAGCCCAGCCAGGCACCAGTAAACACCAGCAAAACAAAAGAAGTATTGAATATGCGGTGAGAATCATGTTGCTTCTCCACTTCACTGCCAGACAGAATCTGACTGTGAACACTGGGTCAGTGGGTAGTTTTTTTAAGAATAAGAGTTCTTGAAAACACATTCTTATTCCCATTTATAAATTATGAAGAACACAAAGAGACTCAATAGCTAGGAAAGGGTGCTACAGCTACGTCATGCCCTGGAACAAGACATCCTGTGCTTGGGCTTGCATTTGTCAATAAAAACATAGATTGGGAAGTATACTTAGTGACTAATGGAACCTGAGGTTCTGACATAGGGAACATGGCCCTGTCTTTCAGCTCAACCAGCTTTTCAGAAACAGCAGCATCAAGAGTTACTTTTCCGACTGTCAAGTTTTAGCCTTCAGGTAAGTGCCAATTCAGGGCCTATGGACCCTGAGGACATCTTGACCTCAAACTCATTATGTAAATGAATATCACCTTGAATTTCTGGTCCCACTACCTCCACCTCTGGTGTAGAGTGCTGGGATTACAGCCCTGCACCATGAAATCTAGGAAATTACTAATGTGGAGTCTCTACATTGTAACAGTGCAGCCATGGGGAACAGTCCTGGGACAGCACTCCCCTCTAGTGGCCTTGTCAAGGGTAGCAGCCACAATGTAAGTAAAGTAATTACCTTGCATGGAGACTTGAGTTTGGATCCCTAGCACCCATATAAAAACCTGGCGTGGCCTCATGCACCTGTTACCCAGAGCTGGGCAGGGGGAGAGAAACTTAAAATGATTCTCTTTTCATAATTTCTTGGTTCCTATTTTAGGGAAGACAACTCAAGGGATATAAAATTGTTGCCTAAAAGCTAGCATTTTCATACAATAGGGAGTCCAACTATCTTAGAAACTTAGCTAAGTGTATGAAGCCTACCAGATATAATGGTGATTGGTAGAAGGGGTCATGCAATCCAGAGTACAGAACTACAGCAAATATACATCTGCATAAAAAATGGCAACATTCAAATAAGCTAAATTTTATTTGAGTAATTTGGATTTCAACATAAAATACTTGATTTGTGGATGAGAGTAAGAATCGTCAAGAACTATCACATGGAGCCAAGCATGGAGACATATCTGTAACCCCAGTACTCTTTTTCCTAGAGAATTGAGGTTCTGATTTATGAATTTAGACTTACTGACAAAACAACTTTTAAAAGAACTAAAAAGGAAACTTGATTACTCTTTTATTAGACTGAGAGAAAAAGAACAGAATAGGCAAGGTGTAAATTCTGGGACCTTCCAGGAAGAGGAGAGAGAAGAAAAAAAGAAAACTCTATGCTTTTTGAGTCAAGTTAAGAATTAGGGGTCTTCAAACAGTATATGAAGTATTTGTGCCAGAAGTGGTGAAGGAAGTCTTCAGAGAAAGAGTAAGAATGCTTAGATTGCCAGGGAAAGCATGCTTAGGACATTGGCTGGCACATAAAAAAATAGATAGAAAGGGGAAAGGCAATGATTTTTTAATTGTAACTCGGAAAAGCAGACAGTGAGGAGCTGTAAGCAAGTGCATCAAAGAATGTGCTTCTGGTGAGTATGAATACATAACTTTTTAGGAGGCTAATTGTTCCTATCTCCTTAGCATTTCCAAACCTGGTATTAACTCTTAAAGAAGGAGATAGTGTTATATAATGTTCTTAACTTTGAGGCAGAACAGACAATCATGGCTCTACCCATGGATAGAGGTAGAACTCAGAATACATTCTTTTGACCAGAAAGAAGTAACTTTGCCTTAAAGGACTTCGACAAAACTATAATATTGCCACCTTTTCATATGAATTTGAAATTTTAAGAAACGCACATGTAATGCTTTTCTAGTGTTAACAAGGAATCAGGCTGTGAAATCCAAAGCTGATTATGAGGGAGGAGTCCATCTTCAGTGGCCTGATACCTGCTAATGTCTGTCTAAGTATTGAAGACCAAGGCAGGAGGATAGGGGTTCAAGAGCAACCGAGACTATACAGTGATACCCTATCTCAAATAAGCCATCATTGTCTCAATAAATCAAGTGCCTTCATGATCTGAGAATCTCTCAGTCGATAAGATGTCTGAGTAGATAAAAACACACTTGCTGCCAAGAATGATAGGTTTAAGCCCCAAAATGCTCATGATAGGAAGGAGAGAACTGACTCCTAAAAGTTGTCCTCTTACCTCCATATGAGCAATGCAACATATGTGAAAACACACACACACACACACACACACACACACACACACACACACACACACACAAATAAGCACAGTAAAAATATTTTTCAAAAAGACAGCAGAATCTCACCTGAGGAGAGATCTAGGAGGCCATGGTACTGTAGACTCCATGTGATTATGATTCCTGGTTGACTGTCTCTGCCAACTATGTCCATTTATCAAAATGATAGTAGCGGGTTCACTCTTGAAGGCTATGAGCTCCACAACTGTGGGTTCTTGGCCAGATTTACAGTGTCAGGCATATTTCCTCCTGTAGAGCAAGCAGGTCTTAAATCCAGTTGGAAAGCAATTTGTTACCCCTATACCATTTGTGCCATTATTGAATCCATGGCAAAGTCTTGATGGACTGGTCATAATTGTAGTTCCCAGGATTCACAGCTGAGTAAGACTACTAGTGCTCACCCCCCCCAAGCCCAGAATCCTGAATAGCACCTCCTAGCACTGTGAAAGCTGGCCACTGGGGAGGAATCTTCCTGGTCAGTTCCAGTGTGATTTCTCCATGTCTTAGGACAAAAGTGTGTGGTGCCTTCAGCAACCAGGTCTTAGCCTGGCTTTAGCTTGTGTAAGCTATTTGTAGGCAACCACAGCAGTTGTGAGCTCATAAATGCAGTGGTCCAGTTTTATCTAGAAAACACTGTTTCACAGCCTTCCTCCATGACCTCTGGCTCATATAATCTTTCTGCCCCATTACACAATGATTACAGAACCTTCGGAGGATGAGTATAATACAGAATACTCATTTAGGCCTAGCCACATTTCTAGTATAAAGTATCAACAATTAACACCTGTATCAGAAAGTGCAAGTGTAGAATGTTGCATTGTTGGACAAAATTCTCCAAGAAAGAGAATAGCAACAGAGAATCTACAACAAATGTAGAATAACAGACATCCTTGTTCATCCTCTATGCCCTCTCAGGTCTGTCTCCAACAGCAACCACACAGGAGTTGATTCCCTGTGTAACTTCTCACCATTGGCTCGGCGAGTGGACCGAGTTGCTATTTATGAGGAATTCCTTCGGATGACACAAAATGGCACCCAGTTGCTGAACTTCACCCTGGACAGGAAGAGTGTCCTTGTCGATGGTAAGGCTCCCTGGTCAGTGAAGACAAGATGACATTCGAGCCATGGTTTCTTAGATAGATTTCTTCTTTTTTCAGGGTAAAATTTGTGATGTCTAATTGATTTTAAAATCTGAATGAAAATGCTAAATGAAGCAAGGGTAGGAAGTGACAATCATTTGTAAATACTATTTTAATTGAACAAAATTAAATACTTAAATTTAAGCAGTGGATTATAACTCTATTCTGTATTTCTGTAAAGTTTTATTTAAATGAATAGCCAGGCATGATGATGACTGTAAAACTTTAGTCTAAGTTTTATCAAGGCAGAGACAGGTAGATCTTTATGAGTTCAAGCCCAGCCTGGAATAAATAGTGAGTTCCAAAAGGGCTATATAATGAGATCCTGTCTCAAAGGAGCAAAAATTTTTTAAAAAAATGAATAAAGCATGCCTGAGGATATATCTCAGTGGTACGGAACTCTCCTCCCATGTCTAAGACCTTGGATTTTACACCTACCCTCAAATAATAGGACAAACTGGCCAGATGTCATAGCATATACCTTTAATCCTAGCAGTCGGGAGGCAGAGGCAGGTAGATCTGAGTCTGAGGCCAGCCTGGTCTATAGAGTGAGTTCCAGGACAGCCAGGGCTACACAGAGAAACCCTGTATTGAAAAACTCAAAATAAGTAAATAATACATTCTCATATGCATTCTATGTTTCATTTATTTCCAGGATATTCTTCAAACAGGGAGGATGATGTGATAAAGAATTCTGGTAAGTTTCAGAGTAGTCCATGCCTAGGGTGTCATAGCAGCACCTTCTCTGTAACCTTGTTATCAAGTGCTGTATGCAAAGGATCATAAATGAAAGAGGGTCCAACCATGGCAAGGACTGATGAGGTAGAGTGGACAGACATTAGGGCTTTCTTCCTATTGGAAGCCCATACAGAAAGAAGTGGGGTGTGGAGTCATGTGAAATTAAGCCACTAAGCTTTCTCCACAAGATTCATACCCATCCTCAGGCCACACAGGGCTGGGGAAGGATTGCCATGGTGGCAATGATGGATTTATTCTATTATTTATCTCCCCAGGTCTTCCCTTCTGGGCCATCATTCTCATCTGCTTGGCGGTACTACTGGTACTCATCACATGCCTGATGTGCTGTTTCCTGGTGAGCAAGGAAGTTGGGGGGAGGGTCCTGTATTCTCAATACTGAATTGTTAAGAACTTTTAAACAGGCAAGCCCAAACAGCACTTCCTTGGTCTAGGATGGTCCTAGGATGTGACATTTGTGTCACATAAATGAGAATGTTCTCCAAAAATGATGGTGCCTAGTGTCATTGTAGCCATCTAAGCTTGTTTAAAGAATGTCTATAATGTTTTTATAATGACATTGCATTTGTAAAATAAGGCCCTAATGTTATACAGAACATGAATGTCTATTATACATACACAAGTCCTTCACTGGTGATATGATTTGTGAATATTTTCCTCTAGATTGTATGTGGCTGACCTTTTAAATCTACTTTTTCTAATTTTACTGCAATCAATATTTTATTTATTTATTTATTTATTTATTTATTTATTTATTTATTTATTTATTTATTTATTTATTTGCTTTTAGCCTAGGCTGGCTTCAAAATCACTAGGTAGCCAAGGAGGATCATCAGTTCAAGACCTCCCTCCCTTAGTTTCTGCCTCCCAAGCAATGGGATCAGTATCTATTTTATTTTTATTTGACAAATAATGTGTATTTGTATAAGTTGTGAGGTATGCATTAAAAATGACTAAACCAAGTAAATATCATCTTATCATTTTGTATGGTATGAATCCTACCCTTAGCATTTATGAAATATGTATTATAGTAACTGTAGTCAGTGTGTTCTACAATGGAATTTAAAATTCTAACATTAGTCATTAGTGAAATTCACACAGTAATATAGCACAATGATTAAAACAATAACTAGAGAGTTGATACTAGTAAGTGCTGGCAAAGATATAAAGTAACAGGAACTCTTACTGAGAACTAGTGGAATGTAGGTTGGTCATTTCTTTGAGAGTTACATATACTTGCCACAGGACATAACCATTCTAATCCTATTAATTTTTGCATGAAAAATGAACATACCTATCTATAAGACCTGTGCAAGTTCAAGCCAGACAAAATTCCAGCACTGAAAAGGGGAGGTAGATACAAAGTCCCACTCCTAACCAAGAAGCTCTTTGTAATTGACACTTGCTGGCAAAGGGAAAAATCATTTTCCCCAATGGAGTGTCACTAGATATACCAACCACACTCCAGAGCAGGCACTATGGCCAGGAGTAGTTGACCAACACAAAATGAACTTCATTGGGATTTTTTGTGGGAGTGGGGCTTTTTTTGGCATTTTTTTTGTCTTATTGAGTTTTTGTTTTGATTTTTTTCTTTTTTTAAGAGAGAGTGTAAGAGCATGAAGTTGAGTTAGGTTAGGGAGGTGAAGAATATCTGGGAGGAGTTGAGGGATGGAAAATAATCAAAATATATCATATGAAAAAAAAGTTCTTTTAAAGACTATAAAAAAGAGAGAACATCTATACAAAGATTTGTAAAAAAAAAAAAAAGTGAATAACTACCTTTTTAGTCATAGCCAAATTTAAAAAAAGAAATGAGAGAAAGAAAGAAAGAAAGAAAGAAAGAAAGAAAGAAAGAAAGAAAAGATAGACAGACAAAAATGAACTCAACCTGAAAACAAAACAAAAAGTTTCCATCAAGAAGTATATCTCAACAATTGAATGCTATTCAGTAATAAAAAATAATGAATGGTTGATCTGTAGAGACAGAAATTATCCCTGAGATTTCTTGAAACATTATGTTTGCAAATGTCAGGAAAGAAAGAATTATGATGAAGCATAACATAGAGATGATAAATGGGTGTTTTTCATCCCCTTTCTACATGATAGTTTAAAGGGTTATAATAAAAACTTATAAATAAATTATTTCTTTTTGAAACAGAATTTCACTATATAGCCCAGGTTAGTATTAAATTAACAACTTCCTAATTGCTGTGAGTAGATATACTACTGTTCTTCACTAAATCATTCACTTTAAATGTGTTGACTTTACTGCATGTCAGTTATTTGTCCTTTAAGCTAGAAAAATGACAGTGGGGAGGAAGCACAGAAATTGGGATGAGAATGAGACAAGAATATTAGGAGAAAATTATAAATAAGTAGATAAGTGCTTGATAGTTAGAAATATATAGAGAGATATATGATGGATAGATGGTTGACAGAACCTAATTGACAGAAGGATATGCAGATGGTTGATAGTAGCTATATAGATAACAGATAATACATCTATCTATCATTAATACATGATAGATAGATGATAGAATCATAAATGATTGCAAGATGATACATAATTCAGAGGCAACTGATGACACAAGCAGAGACTAGATTATTGATGTATGACAGAGAAGTTTATACATGATTGATAGCTAAATGTTTAATTAATATTAATAAATTAATTCAGAAATAGAAATAATAGATATATGGGTGAAGTAATAGTTGAGACTAGAGAGAGAGAGAAAGCATTTTAAGGGAGAAACCCAAACAGAGAAAGGAAGAAGAGAGATATAAGAAAGATCAAGTCTCTAGCTTTGCCCATGTTTTCATTCCTTCTATCTCCCCTACCTGGATGGATAGCTAATTCATTTTTATGGCTTCTCCTGACCCTCACAGGTGACTGTGTGCAGAAGAAAAAAGGAGGGAGACTACCAGGTTCAACGTCACCGCCTAGGTTATTACCTGCCTCACCTAGACCTGAGGAAGTTCCCATGACTCCACCTACCTTTTCCCTAGCAGGATCCAAAGAATAAATAAACCACATTGATCAGACTCAGCACCTGTGACTTTCTTGACTTTGTCACTGAGGAGGTCCCTGGGAACTAAGTGAGAAATATTCCTCTTTTGTTAAGACTTCATGGAGATTGTTAGTTATGGTCTATGGCCTCATAGTATGTCTTTCTTCAGGCACAGCAGAATTTGTGAAACTACTTGTATTAATTACTTTTCTTGCTGCTAAAACAAAATATCTGACAACAGCAATGTAAAGAAGGGTTTAGTTTGGCTTACAGTTCCAGGGGGACACAGTCCATTATAGCGGGGAAAGCTTGGTGACTGGTGCAGGCACCAAGCTGGTCATATTACACAAGCAGTTAAGAAACAGAAAACAGGAAGTGGGGCCAGGCTATAACATCTCAAAGCCCAGCACCCTATGGACCTCTTCCAGCAAGGCTCCATTTCATATGTGAGACTATAAGGAGCAATCTACATTCAAACCACATCAGTATAGAAATTCTCATGGTATAAAATGAATATACCCCTTCAGTGTGGTGTGTACTCTCCTTGTCACTCACTGCATGTCAGCCATTGCACTAATAAGTGTATCTCCAATTCCTCTACTCCATGAAGTCCAAGGTTCTCTTCAACTTAGATTCTCTGTGCTCATCTTCTGCAGAATTTCCACCCAGATTCTCTTGGGTCATTACCCTCTCCCCTTATGGATCATCCAAGATAAGAAGTAGGTGAAGGAATGAGTGAGCAGGTCAGAAATGACTCCAGAATTAGACTCAGAACTTGGGGTTCTAAGGCATATAGAAGTCTGATTCCATGAATAATGTAACGATTTTCTGAAAGTAATTTTTAAATGTAAAAATCAATAAAACATGGAGAAAGACAATAGGAAAAGTAGTCATTTACATTTTCTTCCATCTTCTTGTGGTCTGAACACAAGTAAACAGTGTAGACTAGCCTCACAGCTGTCTTGCTTTGAATTTCCTGGAATACATTGCATGATCTCTATATACTTTTTAAAAGCTACATTATATATATATATATATGTGTGTGTGTGTGTGTGTGTGTGTGTGTGTGTGTGTGTGTGTGTGTGTGTGTGAATAATTTGTGTATATATCTGTTTATCTGTTATGTTATGCCACTTAAATGCAGGTGCCTACTGAGGCCAGAAAAGTGTGTTGGATTCCCTAGAAGTGAGTTACAATGTGTTGTGTGCTACCAGATATGGATGCTAGAGATTGAATTTGGGTCATCAGGAAGAGTAGTATACACCCTTAACCTGACCTCCACACATTTTGAAAATCATAAGCGATGATAACCAATGGCTATGAATCAAAATGATGGCATTGTAAACTTCCTTTGATGTGAGTCTTGTACCCTCAGTCTACTTAAGCAGTCATTCTTTGAGAATACACTCAAGAATATGATAGTTAAAATTCTTATTGATAACTGCTATAATATACTTATTACAGTTATGTATTAATTAATAACTTCCCAAACAAGCATAATTTAATCTTATTGGAGCATGGTTATAGATGTGATATTTTTGTTGTGAAAATAACATCACAGTGGGTGACAAGATTTAACACATTAAGTACAACAGATAACAAACTCAGTATGTTATCTTTATTATATAACTGCTGTGGTCTAAGTGTGCTAAGTGTGCCCTCCAAAATCCATATGTTAGAAATGCAATCCTCAAGTGTTTTGTAGTTAGTTTCTCTAACTTAAACATTACCTGTAGGTTGAGGGAGCTTCCTAATCCTTAAAGTGCTGGATTGAGCCTGTATGATAATGAGTATTCAGAGATGGGTAATGCCTGGGGGCACTCACCAACCTAAGACAGAGCACCAGTGTGGCCTGGGCAGGTGTCTCCAGGACAGGTAAGGTGATCTGCTGACGTCCCACGCAACCTAAGTCAGAAGCTCATTTTCTAATAAAAGGGGGGACCTGTAGGGCCTTGGCCCCCATTTTGGGTAGCTGTTGCCTTGCTTGCTGACCTTGACCTTGATATCCTCCCTATGCTAATTCTCTGCCGGGTTCCACCCTCCTGAATGCTTAAGGGACGTTCCTTGTCTGTGTATCCTGAATAATGGGTGCTAACAGCTTAGATGCAAGATTATAAAACATTGGTAGCAAACTTCTGCCCTCTGGGGTTCTCCCATTGTGCTATAAGCCTATATTTAAGACCTCCTCCCTCCTTCAATAAACAGCATTAGGCATTCAAAAAAAATAAAAAATAAATAAAATAAAATGGAAGACCTAGCCAAAAGAAAAAAAAAGTGCTGGAAAGATGGCCCAGCAGTTAAGATCATATACTGCTCTTTTGTTCTCTTTCCAGTATCCATAGAAGGCAGCTCACAACCACCTATAATTCGTCACTCTCTTCTGACCTTTGAAAGCACCTGCTTGCACATACATATGCACACATACAAACACACACATACACACACACACACACACATACATACATACATACATAAAAATAAATCTTTATTTTGAAAAAGAAAGTTGATGACTGAGATAGAAAGTTAAAAGATTCACGGGGCCCATCTCCAAGGATAAAACACAGTAAACAATTGCTGGCCACAGAAGAATACCCAATGTAGCTGCCTTCAGATTCTGAAAGGAGCTTCAAGGCTACAGCTGTCTTAAATAGTCCCCCGTCCTAGAGTAGGCATTTCTGTGATGCAGCTGCCTTTACCTGTAAGCAACTCCCATGGTTCACCAACTAGACTTAGATGGTTTTGTTTCTTTGGTCTCTCAGGGATGAGTGTTTGTTCAGGTTTTGCCAGAAAAACTCACAGAGCACCAAGGCAACAATTTTAAAAGTTGAGGATAATAAGTGTTCTGGTCATGTGGGCTCTCCCTGTCTCACGAATGGAATCAAGCTGATATTGACAAAGGTCTTGTGGGCATGGGTTTTTCTGCCTCCTTTGATTCCAAAAAGGGGCTTAGCATTTTCCCTCTTTTGTTCCTGCACCTTCTGCCAGAGGAGGATGAAGCAAGAAGCTACACTTCAGATACCACCACCTGGATCTTAGAATTCCCAACCTTCAAAATCGTGAGAGAATAAATTATCAACTGAGTGGTCTGTGGCTTTGTGTTATAACACCATCCCATGGACATGGACATGGACAAAGACACCATCCTTGAGGGTTTTATTTACATGTTATAGCTGAAGGGATAGAGACTCAAAAACATAAGCTATCTAGAGCAGGAAGGAAAAGAATTACTTAAACTCAAGTTATTGATCTAGACAAACTATATAGAGAGAAAAAGAGGCAGCCTAGAATAGCAGCACACACCTATAATCCCACCATGCAGGACACTGAGGCAGGAGGCGTGTATGCTCTAGGGCAGCCTGGGCTAAACAATAAGACCCTCCAGAGAAGGAAAGAGGAAAGGAGAGGGAAAAAAAAAGAGAGAGAAAAATGAATCTTAGTACACAGACCAATTCTAAGCTAATCTTCCATAAGTCTTAACTGAGAGAATATATACCAAGAAGAAAAAGTAATGAAAAAACAGAAAACCACTGGAATGAAAAAAATCAGTACTGAGAAATGTATTAATCTAAATTAATATTAATTAATATTAATCTAAATTAACATTCAAATACATGCTAACTACAATTCCATATGAATACCAAATTGTAAATACAATACACAGAAGAGGAAGTTTTAAAATGCTTTATTCCTAGGACAGATATAAACAGTATGTCCTGTTACTTTTTTAAAGGCATCAACAAGCCAGGCTGTTGCCAAGACTGCAGGTTGCCCTCCACAAACTGATGGCAAGGGCACAGTGGTGTCCTGCCTGCAAGACAACTACTGCAATGGTGGCACAAAGCTTGTGGAAGTTACCAACCAATGTCTGAGTTGACTAAAGGTCCACTCCACAAGACAGAACCTATGTCTGACACTGCTTGGGTGACCAAGAACCTGAGACTAGATAGTTCAGGGACTTAGGGTTAAACCAAATACTATTTATGGTGGTTTGAATAGGAATGACCCCATAGGCTCATATATTTGCATGTTTGGTCATTTGGGAGTGGTGTTCTTTGAGACGAATTAGGAGGTGTGACCTTTTAGGAGTAGGTGTGGTTCTCTCTCTTCCTGCTGCCTACAGATTACAAATGTTGAACTCTCAACTACAATGTCTACTTGCATTCCACCATGCTCCCTGCCATAAAGGTAATGGACTAAATCTCTGAAACTGTAAGCAAGTCCCAGTTAAAGGCTTTCTTCTATAAGAGTTGCCATGGTCATAGGGTCTCTTCACAGCAATAGAACACTGACTAGGACACTATTGTTCTACATAAAAAAATAAATAGCATTAAATGCAGCTATAGTCATAGGCTAGTGCCTTGCTCAGCTTTCATCAGAGAAACATCCTCCCACAGCAGCTGGGAACAAATACAGTGACCCATAGCCAGACATTATGCAGAGAGCAAGGATGTCTCCCAACACTCAGCCCTAAAAAAGATATCTCCACCAAATCCCTCCCCTCAGGGCTCAGGGAGCTCCGCAGAAGAAGATGTGGAAAGAGTGTAAGAGCCTGGGAAGATGGAGGACACCAAGAAAAGAAGGCCCTTCAAATCAACATAGTCAACATATGTGCAAACTCACAGAGCCTGAAGCAGCATGTACAGGGCCTGAACAGGTCTGTACTAGATAAGGTCCTAGAGTTGAAAGGAGAAATGGTTACATATCCCCATCCTTAACTTAAAAGCAATCGCTAGGTGATAACCACTTGCAAATGAAAATTTAGTTTTCTCCATGGGAGTCTCACTGGGAAAACAAACTACTTTTAAGGGTAGGTTGTATGCCCAGCAGTAGATAGCCAACAGAAAATGAACTCAACAGAGTCTTTGTGGGATAGGTGTGTATGTGGGGGCCAGAGTTGCAAGCACAGACTACAGGGAGTGCCACAGAATTATGTAGTGCCTTGTCCTTACAGATTGTGAAGGTTATTCTTGTTTGTCA